TCTTTGCTTCTTATTCATGAAAAACTTAACAGCGTCTTACAGAGTTGTTAAAAAAGCTCTTTTCAGATTCCAGAGAAGTCAGAGAGGATTCTTCTGCTTGGAGGTGTGGAAATCTTCAGTGAAATAATGTATTTATTACTTCATTTCCTGAAATATTTCGGGTCCAAACTTGAAACTGTTCAAGTGTACATAAAGCCCTGGCAGGCAGCTCCTGCTGAGGGAGTGAGCTCATCCTCTGCTCAGGGGAGGCAGCTGAAGCATCAACTCAAGAAAAAAACTGCAGAGTTTGGGTCCTCTGCCCTCCCTGCCGCTCACCCAGCACTGGCAGTCACAGCTCAGGTGAGACCCCACCTGCAGAGCTGCCCCAGCCCAGCAAGGACCTGGAGCTGCTGGAGAGAGCCCAGAGGAGGCACCAGGATGGGAGGAAAGGCTGGGAGAGCTGGGATTGTTCACCTGGACAGGAGAAGCTTTGGGGTGACATGATTGTGGCCACAGTGGCTGAAGGAGCTATGAGGAAGATGGAGAGACTTTACAAGAGCCTGGAGAGACAGGACAGGGGGAAATGGCTTCAAATTGACAGATAGTAGGGTTAGTTTGGGTATTAGGAAAAAATTCTTCCCTGTGAGGGTGGGCAGGCCCTGGCACAGGATGCCCAGAGCAGCTGTGGCTGCCCCTGGATCCCTGGCAGTGCCCAAGGCCAGGCTGGACAGGGATGGGAGAAGCCTGGGACAGTGGAAGGTGTCCCTGCCCATGGAAAGGGGTTGCACTGGATGATCTTCAAGCTCCCTTCCAACCCAAACCATTCCATGATTCTATGATAAGTTCCTTTAAGGGCCAGCACAGCTCTTTCACCTGCTCTTGGAAATCTTTTTGGCTGCCCCTGGATCTCTAGAAGTGCCCAAGGCCAGGTTGCCTCCACTGGGAGGTGTCCCTGCCCGTGGCAGGGTTTGGAATGAGATGCTCTTTAAGCATCCTTCCAGCCCAAACCATTGTGTGATTCTATGGTATACTTCTCTCTGAAGAAAAAAACCCGTATTAGTGTAGGTACAGCTTTTGAAATCCTTCTGACACTTGCTGACACTTGAAATGTGCCACCCTTTTGTTTGGCTCCTTTGAGGTCACCACCTCGATCTCAGCTCACTCTTTCCGAGAGGACTTTGGCACTCCTGTCCATCAGAGAGCTGGAGTTCTGCCCCTGACCTGCCTTAATCTCACAAAGATTTGTGAATTCTGTTTGAACCTGGTTAGGAATGGCCCTGCTCCTCTCTGTGATGCTGTTTTACCAGTTTGTTGACATTCCCACCAGGAAGGTGAGAAAGTTTTTTTTGCCGTGTCCTTTCCGCTCTTGGATTGATAAAAAACCATTGTAGCATTCCCTCATGTTAGTTATGGATGTTGGTTCCTGCAAACCTCTGACATTTCCAAATGGGCTTTTTTTATTTCTTTGTTTGCAGCCCTGCTCTCCATTGAGAGAAAAGACACTCTGGATGTGTCAGGAAATTCCTTTGTTGTTCTGATGACAGCCTAACTCTATCTTTAGCCTTATATTCTGGAATTGCAAGGCCCAGCCTTCCCTTTATGAGAACATGTATGACCTGGTGGAAGAACTTCCCTAGCAGCAAGTTTGTTGTTTCCACTCTGAAACGATGTTAATTGATCAACTCAAAGATACAAGTTCTCCTTACAAGTCTCGCCTTTCTGAGGGGAGGAAGAAACTTGCCAAAAGCTAAATATAAACAAGGTGCAGTGGAAAATGCACATGTGCCTGCTGTGGGAGTGTGAAGTGATGTCTCCCTTCCTAAAGCAGCATGAGCTGCAGGTTAAGGGAGTTCACTGAGCAGTTGTAAATCTACACCCTGGTTCCTCCTGGTCACGAAAGATGACTCCCAGCCTCTGCCAGTGGATGCTCAGGGTGGCACAGGGTGTGTGTGCCCTGTGAGCTGGCAGTGCAGCCCCTCTGCACATCCAGGCTCCCTGCAGCATTGCTCACACCTTCCACTGCTTTGGCTACAGCAGGGAGGCAGCTCTTGCAACACAGCACAAGGTTCCTCTCTGTTCCCAGGCTACAAATACTCCTCCAAGTGACCAATGCCTCAGGAACCTGGAGGCTGCTTGGAATTTTTACTGCAGGTGCTTGCAGGAACGTCTGACCTGAGGGCAGGTAAAACCTGTTCCCCTCTGCCATGCTCATAGCTCCTCCCTTGTGCATTACAAATCATCTCTGGTGTCTAATCCTCATTCTTTTCTCTTCCCAGGACAGTGTAAGTGCTCTCCTGGGATTGCTTTCAGTTCTGGGAGGTAGACAAGGAGCCAGTGGCAAAAGGAGAAAGGTTTTTCTAGTGGAGGCAGATTTTTGACCCTTAGGTCTGATAGGAGCTGCCACAAATCTCTCATTTCTTGGGGTTTTGGGTCTCCTGTTACAATAACTCTTGTCAACTTCACAGATTTGTTTGAGACGTTTGCTTGATTTATTTATTTTTATAATATATGTAGTTAATGAAGCCTTCTTTGGGCTTTTGTCCTCATTGCTAGCAGTTGATCTCTCTGGTGTCTCACAAACATACTTTTCAAGCTGTCATTGAATCCTTTACATTTCATATCTTCTAACTTGGAGTTTAAGTAGAGTGAAGAAGGTGGCTCTTTGTCCTGGCCATGCCATCTCCCATCAATCTCCTCAAACTTTGATGCCATTTGGACTTTTTCCTTGCCCTTCCCTGAGTGCATAACCCCACTGCTGTTTTCACTAACAGGGATCAGACTGAGGAAATTGTATGAATTGGGTCCAGTATCAGATGAGAAGTTGCCTGGAACCCTGAGGACTGTTGTTCCTGTGCCAGGGTATGAACCCTCCTAGCTCAGAATGTCTTTTCCAGGCAATTGATTGTTCTGTCAGGAGATTTGCACAAAGCCAGTCCTTTTTCTTTTGGGCTGGTGATCATTTGGATTTACTGGTGTCACACATCAGTGAGCAAAATCTAACTAGCAGTGTTTGTCTCTTATCCCAAACTTGCCTTCTTTGATTGTTGTGATCGTTCCAGCATCCTTGTGCAAGCTTTAATACACCTTCCCTTCTCTTCTGCTTGGGTCAGGTTCTGGATGTCATCCTTCAAGCTTCTGCTTCCATCCATAAAACCTTAATCGAGCACTTTTTGTAGTGTCTCTGCCTAATCCAAGCTTACTTAGGCCATGGAAAAGTTAATTTGTGGTGTTGGGTTTCACTTATGTGATGAAATGATAATCTCAGAGGAGAGAACTCTGCCTCATATGACATCAGCTTTCCAGTGAGCTGTTTAAAAAGCTGGATTATTTTTTCTTTTAAAGCTGTGATGGGCCATCATTTCAATACTAGTAAATATTTCTGATGGTGAGAACAAACTTCCTTTTATAGTATCCACACACTGCTGTTTTTACTGAGTCCAGCCTGGAGCTGTTTCCTATTTCTGAGTGTTGGCTCACACTCAGCAGCTCCTGGCGTTCACGTGCTCTGTCTTTCTCTCTCTCTCTCAGCTTTTTTAGCCTTGTTGATCTATTATTGTGACTTTGGCCAGACGACGCCAGCTTTCAGCATTTAATGGGCTGGGAGAGCAACAGCTTCCTCTGCCTGTGAGACCATGATGTCATCAGCTACTTCGGGTTCTTTCACCATCCTGATGCTTCGGTGGATGTGGAAAGAATGCAAACAGCACTTTCCAGATGTTCTCAGGGCAGCTGGAAAACCATACATGGATTGTTTGGTTGGGGAATATTGCTGGTCTGTTTAGGAGACAGCAGTGAGAAGGGTGATGGAAACACAGCCCCTGTGCTGTCAGGTGTCTCACAGAGGGTTGTTGGGGTGTTAAGTGGTGACACAGCTTATTCAGGACTCCAGCTGGGCAGCTGAAATAAATTTCTACCTGCTCTCCATTCCCTTTCTTCCCTTCCTTCCTCCAGCTTCAGCTGCTGAGTGAAGCACAGTATCCTTCTGATCTCCTGCAAGGCAAATGCTGTTTTGTTCGTACAGTTCCTCAGAGTTACCTCAGCAGTTGAAGACTACAGAAAAGAAGAGTTATGTAGTTTTTAAACTCCCAGTAGAATATTTGATGTAGTAGAAGCTCCTGAATAAACACAGGGGTGTTTCATCTCGGTGCAGTGTGGACTGGGAATTTGGAAGCCCTCTCCAGGGCTGGAAAAAGCATCAGCTCTCACCCACTTGTGGCATATCCAAAAAAGTCTATTTTTAGGGAGAAGCGGTCACTTCCTTCTTTAGGGTGGGTGGGTGGGTGTTTTTAATGCATTAATTAATTTTTATTGAGTGATGGAAAAGCTGATGTCAGAGCTGCATTGCGGTTGGGCGTGCAGGAACACAAGGTGGTAGGAAATGTAGCTAACACACGAGGGCAGGGAGAGTTTAACCATGGGCAGTTTAAAATAGCAAAGCTGAGCCCTATGGATATTAAAAACTATGACTGAATCAAAACAACGGGCTAATATTAAACTGGACTTTGCTGGGGGAGGAACAAACCTGTTGGGTTAATTTCTGTTGCCGTATCCAATGTCCAAGGGATGTTTTCTGGTCTCAACACCTGGATTTCTGACTTAGGGGTTGTCTATTTTTGGCTTTGCAGGGTATAAATGACAAAGGGCAATACAGATTGTATTTTACTGGGTTTTTTATTCAGGAGTCTGTAGAGTATCCCTTTCTTTTTACAGTGGTCTATAAACTTGTCCAGCATGACTTCTTGCCTGGCTGCTCTCACAGTTCAGATTGCACAGATCCACAGCAGGGAGGGGGAGGGAAGTGCTTTGGAAATGGGAGCCAAGACAGAGCACAGTTACTATAATTGTACAAAAGAAAAGGGGGTTTTTTTGTTTTGTTTTTCCTTCCCATATCCTCCTGCCTACTGAAAAAATGTTGTTGGAAAGCTGGATGGAAAAAACTTCAGCATCGTTCATCCCTGTGGGGGCATGAAATGTATTGAAATGTTCCACCTGTTTTATGGCTGGTGCTTTTCCTCTTTCAGGTTTGACATCTACAGGAAGGTGCCAAAAGACCTTACACAGCCAACCTACACAGGGGCCATTAGTAAGTAACTTCTTTTTGATGTCCTTGCATAGCCCTGGTCTAAAATTAAAGATTGTTTGGCCTCTCTGTCTGCAGAGAATTCTTTTAAAGGGATGTTAAACATTGGAAAGGGTGTCCTTTGTTGCTGAGGCAGCTTGTTCTGCCCATCAAACAGTGGAATGGTTTGTGTGAATTCAGAATTGAAACATGGTTTGGGTTGGAAGGGGCCCTAAAGAGCCTCCAGCTCCAGCCACTGATAGGGATCCACTCTCACTCCCATGTATCAATACACAGACTTTGGCTGATACACATCTCTTGCCTTGGGCCCCTTTTCCTTCCTTCCTGCTCCTGAGGGAGGCTGCAGGCTGAGTAATGCCATTTCACACAATTATGTGCAGCGAGCTGGCTGGGCAGAGGGCTTGGTAAACATTGATCAGGCTGATCCTGCCAGGCCTGATCCTGTCATTACCCTGCTCATGCAGCTTTCCTGTCCCTTTGAGCAGGGACTTCCTTTGATCAGGGAGCTGTGCCCCACTCAGCCATGCTGGTAGATGGGTCAGTAGTCTTGTGTGTCATTGCTGACGTGAGTGATGTCACATCCCTTGGTGACAGCACGCAGGACTGAGTCAGTGCCAGTGAATCAGGACACAAAGGAAAGCCCTCTGTGAGCTGGAGAAACTCCTGGCTGTGAGCATGGTTGAAGAACAGGTTGTCCAGGGTGGTGTGCAGTCTCTGTCCTTGGGGATGCTCCAAACGAGCAGAGCTGGCCCTGAGCAACCTGCTCAGAGCAGGGGAGTTGGATGGGATGGGCTCCAGAGGGTCCTTGCCAGCTCAACTATCCTGTTCTGTGAAGATTACACTTTTCCCTAAATATTTACTCTCAGAGTCCTTGTCCCCTGAGTTCTCCTGGCCACTGAATTACTTGTATCCCAACTCCCATGTGGGTTTGCTGAAGTTGTGAACAAAGAGCTTGACTCAAACTGTTTGGGAATTCAGGGGCGGATGAGATTTAGTGTTTTGAAAGAACACTTTGAACTTGTGAGTGATCCTGCCTTCTCTTCTGTTTTGGAAACTAAGAGTTCCCACACTGCCACTGGGCTCCCTTTGAGAATTTGTCTTGTTATGAATCACCTGCAAAAGAGTATTTTAGAAGCAAAAAAAACCATCAAAGGCCACCAGAGTTTAGGCTTTCAGATCTGCAGTAAACAGCTCAAGTGATAAGTCTGTTGTGGGAAGGCTTCAAGGTTGTGACTCTTACTTACAATTATTAGCTGACTTATTTCTCTCTATTGTTATTTACAGCTTCTCAGGCTTTGATTTTCTTCTCTAACTGGTTCTCCTTCTTTTTCTCACAGTGTTTTTAGGCAGCCTGATAGAAGCTTCTGAACCACACAGGCAGCCAACAAACTGGTGGCTTTGCCTGTGAGGATCTTGTGAGCAGCTTTTCTAATGGGCTTTTTTCTGTCTGACCAAGCCTATGGCTTGTAATTTGAAAGCCACTAATCTTAGGTGTTGTAGGAGGCCATGGATGAGACCAGCCCATTGCCAGGCCAGTTGGAAGCCTGGGAAGGTTGCATGACCTGGTGAAAAATTGCTTTAGGGAAGTCAGCCCGTGTTAACACTGGGAGCTTGAGTGAAGGGGAAGGTTCTGCCTCTCAAAAAAGCTTTTAGGCTTTAGTAATGGTGTGGAATTACTATGACTGCAACTTTATTTTGGCTTTCTTTAAGTCCTCCCAAGTTTTACAGAGCAGATATAAAATACCATGATACTCAGCTATTAATTTAGACCTTTTCCATATGATTTCTGATGAAACCTTTAGTTCAGTATCACTTCTGGTGCTGAAGGCTCTCTGGAATAGGAATGGACTTACTGCAGGGTTTCAACAGTGACTTTTGGATTGTATAAAGGTCTATTTTCAAAAACAAAGGTTGAGGTTCATTAGGGAAGAAGGCACAGATCAGATTACAGAAAAAAAGAGATGGAAAAGAACAGCTCTGCTCCTCACCAGGGCTGAAGGGGCCAAGGCTCTCAGGGAAGAAGCAGCTAAGAGAGAGTAAGTTTTGGGGGATTTTGAGGGAGAAGAGCAGGTGATCTGGAGCATGAGCAAGCTCAGAGCCAGCTGGAGTTACTGAGGCTTTCTTAGGTATGGATTTTTAGTTCCCAAATTTACAGTGAACGCTGCATACTACATACTTCAGATCTGTGTGGAAGCCACTCAGCTACAAACAATTTATTTTTTTTAGAAGTGAAGGAACCAAGAATTTACTAATAGTGAGGTTTGTCCAGAACAACACAGCCACTACTGTGGACTTCTCTGGGAAGTGTGTAGAAGTCACTCATTCCTTTTCCTCAATAGAAGTCCTTTCTTCAGGCAGCATCCCTGTTGTGCTGTTGTCCCTCTTCCACCAGTTTTCGCAGGTCCTCCCATTGTGTGTAACGTGTCTGTGGTGCCACTGTGACAGACGTGGTGACAGCCTGGCCATGTTTGGGTACAGAGGCAGCAGCAGCACTCCTGGCTGGCTGACAGTTGGCATCTGGCTGGACAGGAGCAGGGGGGCTCTGGAGAGGAGCCTGCAGCCCAGGCAGCTGCTGGCACCATCCTGCTCCCCAGCCATCGGTGTGGATGCATAGTTTGCATGCACATGTTGTATGCACACATGGAAACGTTATCCAGAAATACTCTGTGCTGTTTGGGGGCTGGAGTTTTAAATACACATCAGGAAATATCAAAGTTATGATTCACATGGTGCCTGTAACAGGACCCGTTCCTTGTGCTTCATAACAGTTTGCTCCACTGAATAATAAATACTATTAATTTTATGCCTTAATATAGACATGGCTCCATGTTCTCAGTCTGTGTGATGTGTTAAACACTTTGCCTTTCTCTCATTTCTCGTGGGGTGGGGAGGCAGAGCCAGGAATGTACCCACATGGGGTTTGTAGTGGAAGGGATGAGTACAAAAAGGTTAGTGCAGGAATAAAAACCTTGGCAGAGTTTCCCATCTTTTTGGGATTGCAGATTAGCAGTGTGTCTACACCAGCAACCTTTGATATATTGATCATGTTATCATATTAGAGCTTTAAAAAACCTGTCTCAGATGTTGTTGGAGCTCTGTGGGAACGTCGCCGTGCTCCTGCAGTTAACAAAGCTTTATGCATGAATTGTTTGATTCTGTCTGATCCCAGCCTTTAATCTACTTTTCCAAATATAATACACTTGTCAGATGTGGGTGGAAGGACTGCACATTTGCATGGAAGCAGGTAAAAACCTTCACTGTGAAAGGAGCAGCTGAAGCACCCCGTGCATAAATTCCTGTGCTGGGAACGTCGTCTGTGCCTGCAGCTCCACGCTGAGAGAGGAGCTCCTGTTCTGCAGCTGAGGAAATGCTGCCTCTGGAGAGAGTAACTGATAATGCTGGCACATGAGTCTCATGCCAAAAACTCCCCCTGCCCTGGAAATGTGTGTGTATAGGAAGAGTTTAACAGTGCAGTGTCCTCTTTCCCAGTGTCCTGTAGCAGATGCCTGAGAAAGAGCAGGAGAGGCAGGTTAAACACTTTACCAGGCTTTGCTGAATTGGCTCCTGAGCTTCCTAAGCTGGAGTTGGTTCCTTTGTGTTTAGTATCCCTCAATGGATTTCTTCCTCAAGGCATGTATGATTCCTTTTTGTAATCTAGCAGGTTTTATTTCTTAAGCAACCTCAGCATTTGTAGTCAAGAATCCTCAGAATTTAGTTGTGTAAAGCAAAACCTTCCCTTGTTTTTAACCTCCCCTTTCCATGTAGAACCCATACTGAAAGAGACAGTGAGTGGTTGTTCCCCACTCACCTCCTTCAGGCTGCTCATGATTTTATATTCCCCTCTCATGTCCACCCTCAGTATTCTCTTTTACAGCTTCAAAACTGACTCTGTGGTTTGAAGACTGGGAAAAGCATTGAGGAGCTTTGAAAGTAAGCCCCTGCCAGACACTTCAGGGCATTCTTGCAGGGTTTTTTAGATATAGGTTAGTGGAATTTTACTGTGCTGTGTTTGGTAAGTATTGTCACGAACCTTCACTGCAAGAGCTGAACTGAAAATGGACTTGAGGGACCAAGTACTGGAAAAGAAGGTATTTTGATTATATAAGTGGCAGAGAAGGAAGTTTAAAAATTGGAAGGGAGAGGAAGCTGTGGGAGAGAATTTAGTTAAGAGAGTTAGTGGTAGCAGGCTTTCCTAGAAGTGCTTGAGAGCAGAGGTCTGGCTGATGCTGTGGAAAGCCTTTATGGGATTATAACAAGCAGCAAGGAATATGGGAAGCAATTGAAGAAAAAAGGGTTGTCTGCATCAAACACTCTCCCTGCAACTGCCAGAGATCAGAGATCTCGTGTCTCTGTCACTGATCAGCACTACAAACACTGGATCTACTCATGTGCTGCCTTGGTTTCTTTTTTTGGGCTCTTATGTAGGTGTGGATGTTCTCACAAGAATTTGCTGCTCTGCTTTAAGCAGACCTTTCTCCTGGTGCCCCGTGCCAGGGCTCAGCTGGGTCACAGCCCTGGTGACCTTCTGTGTCCTGACAGCCAAGACTTGGGAGCAGCTGTGTGCCCATCTGAGGTTTCTCTTCAGGAATTAATATCCATTCTTGCTTCCTGTTTTCCTACTGGTCTTTGGGGGTTTTTTCCCTTCTCTTTCCTCCTCGCAGCTGGTGGATTTTTTGGCATCTCTGTTAATTCCTTGCACTTTAGAGTGGGTCAATAAATGAATCCACAGTTGAAATTACGCTGATGAGGAAAGGGAAGCGACGCATTTCTCTTTCCTCAGAGCTGGAAGAATGAGGCACAAGGCTTTAGGTCACTCAAGGCTCTGTCTCAGTACTTGCCCTCAGCACCTCTTTCCTTCCCTTGCCTCTCACATTCTTTACCAAGGGAGTGATAAAATTGTTCCCAGCCTGTTGTTACTTGAGTTCCCGAAGGAATGGGCAGTCAGGCTGTACAGGTCATGTGGAATAAAGTTGAGGAACATGGCTTTTTTTTTTTTTTAATGTATTTCTCAACCCTAATTAGTGGCTCTGGTAGAGTGGTCATTTCACAGAGGGCTGTGCTGGGATGGAGGGGTTGTGCTGGGATTGTGCTCTGGCTGTCAGTTCCTGTTTTGCCTTTCTGTGAGTGATTCACGGTGAATTTGAGTATTGTATTTAACACAGGGACACACTGCAGCCCTGTCCCCTTGAGCTGGCACATCCGTGCCTGCTCCAGTCATCCCTGATCCATAGGATTTACAGCTGTGCTTCCTTCCAGCCCCTCCTGTGTGGGTGACTGTCACTGCTGCTTCAATGTCCCTGCTCAGGGCTTGGAATAATTTCCTGGGGAAGAACAAAGAGTAAAATTCCAGCGACTTTGGGCTCCCTCTATGCAATTCCAGGTTGGAATTCCTGGGAATTGTTGTCTGGGTACCTCACAATGCCTTCAGTGGGGATTTTCCCCCTCTGCAGAGTCAATTTGTCAGCAGATGGAGAAATGAGAGAAGTCAGGCACTGGCTGCACAGTTCCAATATTGCCACGTCTCTGCTGTCCAGCTCTGGGGAGCCTTACACAGAGCTTTGGAACCTGACAGAGAGCCAGAATGTCTCCTGATCCCCAAAACACCGCGCTAGGGGACTGTGTCCTTTCAAAGCAAGGACATGCTGGTTTCTTTTGCCTTCTGGAGGTTTTAATAATGATAAAATTGGGAGCCAAGGCTCCAAAGAAGTGATGTTGTCAAGAAGAGGGAGTGCTGGCAGACCAGCATTGTGTGCTGAAAGTGGAGAGTGCAGGATCTGTGGGGAGATGGAAATCATGACAGAAAAAGGGGCCCAAAAGTGGAAGATATCCCTGTTCTGGTCATTAATTATTAAACCAAGGGATGCTCATATTTTCACTGCAAGAGGCAAGGAAATTAAGATGAGGTTTTTCTAGATAATCTCACCTGTGAGCAGAATTAAGATGTGTCTTTGGTAAGTGCCAGGGGTGGGGATGCAGTGGTCAGTATTTTATGTGAATTTGAGGGCTTTTTTTTTATTTTCTTGTGTGCAGAATCTTCTAAAGTTTGCTCGGTGGGAAAGACATGAGTTTGATATTTATGCATTCGTAAAATAATAGAATTTTTAATGGTTCCTCAGGAGTTTGGATATTGGCATGGCATTGAAGTCACTGCTCTGGTGGGCTCCTGGGTCATGGACTCTAAAAATTGTTAATTCTCAATTGTGTATGGGTGGCATATCCATAGGGGCAGTGATATGGCTGTGTGAAAACAGTTTTTGTCTTTGTTAGACATACTAAACTAACCTTTTCCTCTCTTTGCCTCTGTTCCAGTCTCTGTCTGCTGCTGTCTCTTCATATTGTTTCTCTTCCTGTCTGAGCTCACCGGATTCATAGCCACTGAAATGTAAGTAAAAGTCATGTTTTCCCCTGTTTGTGTGCATGTGAATCTTTACAGCTGTACTGTTATCTGAGAGAAATATTCCTGTAATTTCACTAGGTCATTTAGTTACTTAATGGGTTTAGGATTCCTTTAGGTTGAGTCCAAATTCTCAGACAATCATTCAGCATTTTAATTCGCTAAAATTAATAGGCAAACTTGGTTCTGAACTATTTTTGATAGAGGAAGCTGTTCCAGACTTGCTTGATCCTTTATTAGCTGCATGCTGCATTGCATAATTAACAGCATGGAGAAATGGATTGCATCAAATAAGAATTATTAATTTAATATCAATAATTGCTTTTTTTATGATGTCAGAGCTGAATCTCTGATTCATGCAGGTAGTTTTATTAATGTGTGAATTTTTTCTTCTTTTGTTGAGCCTTACTAGGAAACCTTATTCACACGTTTTGTGCCTGAGGACAAGTTGCCCCAGGTGGTGACAGCTGAACAAAAGGGAAATAATTTCTACTTTTAAAAACTGCTCATTGAACAAGTATGAAGTACTTATTAACAGCGAGTTAATCAGAATTTTATTTTTTCCCCCGTTCTCATGTTCTTCCTGCCTCAAAGTAAACTTTTAGTAGCTCTTTACACATCTGTCTTTGTTCTGGGCTCTAGGAAACCTTCTCCATCACCCTGCTGATGTGGCAGTGAGCTCAGAGTGTGAGGCACAGTTCCTGGATAGTTGGGAAGGGTGGAACTTCTGTCAGGCTCACATGATGGTCCTGATAGCAACAGATGTCAGTGCTGAGCTAAAAGGCTCTGAAACCTTGCTTAGATTGGCCACTTTGATAACCAAGAGCCTCTTCTATTGTTTTTGTGCAGCTCTGTCTTGAATCAAGACTATAATTTCAGGAATAATGTTAATGTTGACTAATGTTTAACTGAAGGCAGGAGTGTAATCAAGCTCGAGATCATTTTTTGTGCCTGTTGCACGTTTACTTCAGAGATGGTATCTCAGTTTTCTTGCTTGCTCACAGTTTCTTTGACTTCAGTTCTGTGTGTTTGCTTGTGAAATCCGGGGTCACCTTATCAGCCACTTCACAGAGCTGAGTTTCCTTGGGTTTATTGTTTTAAAAAACAAAAAAGCTAGACAGACTGCTTCAAGTAAAGCACTGCTTATTCTTGCTTTCCTCTTAGATCTCATTCTCTTGCCTGGTTTTCTTTTTTCTTTCAGTTAATGCTTTACAGGAGGAATTAGTAATACTTACCTAGTTTTGACCCAGTTATTGGAGAGCACATCTTTATGTAGTGGCAGTTTCCTGATTAGAAATTCCTTTTTGAACAGCACAATTGCATAATTCTCTGAGGCCTCTTCTTGCTTTTTCCTAAAGAAGATGATGCATTTTCCACAGAAATATTGGGAAGTGCTGTAAGCACGCTTAGCTGACAAGTTCCTCATTAAAACCTCAGAGAGATGGTGAAGTGCCTTTCCCAGCAGGAGCTGCTTGGGGAGGAGGTGTTTGCAGGCAATAAAGGAGTAAAATTTGAGAGAGGATGTCATACAAGGGTCTGGGACAAATGACTGCAGGAACCTGATTCGTCATGGACTGTCCAACACAAAAGCTCACACAGAGGAGTAGGAAAACCTCCTTCTGATGAGTTACAAGTCACCAGACTCTTGCTGGGAACATTCACCCCCAGCACTTGTGAAAATGCTCTCCCAGAACAGCGGAAATACTTCAGAAAGTCACTTCAAGTCCTTCCCAGTTCAGCGACTTCGAAAGCAGGAGTAAACTTTTATTTTCCATTTCTTACTCATTGGTTTCTCTTCTGAGAAACCCAGTACAAGTTGTTGTGAGCCTCTTGTGGTTCCCTTTCAGTCAGGTATTACTGGCAGTGTGTTATGAGGCAGCAGAGCCTCATCATTGGGAATGAGAATTGGGAGTTCTGCGTGGTCTGGAACTTGTGAGAGCTCTGTGCTGCCATTAAACTGGGTAATAGCAAATAACAGGGGGAATACTGTTTCAGGTTTTTGAGCCTTATTTGCCCATGATCCAAATACTTATAAATATATGGAAGATTCCTTATGTGCAAACTGTTCAATTCTCATCAACTTTTATTGCAAGCTTCAAGGTGTTTTTTTAGTATTAAGAGTCTCCTACAACAGATACCTCACCCAGACTGAAGTTTCCCAATGCCAGCCAGGACCTGAATGATTACAGGTGTGCAGTTACATGGGATGAACTTTCCTGCTTTGTCACTGCCAGCTGTGCTGTGAGACTGCATCACTCTTTCTCCTTTTGTGTCATATTTCCCTTAAAGCACTTGAGAGAGCCAAGCTGGGTGGGGAGAGCTGCACAATTTTGATGACAAGGTGAGCACTTGGCCTGGTGTTTTACATCAGAGACGTGGCAGGTTCCCTGCTGAGCACTCCTGCTTCCCTCAGAGCCTGTTCCAGGGAGTTGTTGTGTGTGGGGTGTGTGCAGGGACAGCTCCTTCAGGGCAGTGCTGCCCGCAGGATTCCCTGTCTCACTCTCAGCACCGAGAGCTTCCCTTGGTGGCTGCACTTCAAGCAAGAGGTTGGCGTGGTTTGTTGAGCTTGTGCTGCAACGTGAGAAAAGAAGAATCTGCTCTGCACCACACTGACCCCAAATCCTCACTGGCTCCTGCCCGCTGCTGGACTTTCTTCCACGTTCACAAGAGTGCAGCAGCCTCAGTGCCTGGTCTTACTCGAAATCTCGGTTTGGCCGCTCTTGCCCAACTTCAAAGCTGTTTTTCCTTGACCAGCCCATTGTGGTAGCATTTACAGTCTCAGCTGCTGAAGGCTTGTCTGGGTGGCAGAGAGCCAAGAAATGACACCCTCATCTCGAGGATCGCAGTCATAGCCCTAAACCCAAACATTACCTGTGTGGGGAGGACGGCAGCTGTGTCATAACTCGTGTGGGCATTTCTAATGAGCGCCGGGGCTGTGCCTGTGCTCAGGAGCTGACTCCAGTTAGGAAGTCAAACCAAGACACTGCAGGAAACTCATGGAAGAGGTAACACACTCTAAAGGCATGTCCTATTCTGCTGCTGACGGGTTTCCTGGGGAGACCAGCCCTGAGGAGGGTAGAAAACTCCCAAGTTGCTCATCTTCCAGATTTATCGTGTGACCCTAAGAGTCCTGTGAGCAGCCATGAAGGAAATCCAAGCTTGGCACTTAGGTGGGGCTGCATCCTTCCCAGGAAAAGCACAGTGAAGGGCTGGTGAGGGAAGAGAGCTTTTTTCTTTTCTCAGTCACAACCCATCATTGCCATTAAGGGGAGGGTGAGTTTAACTCTGAAAGTCAAGGATCCTCTTGATTTTCAGTTTTTGTTTAGTCCAGACTGAGAGTGACTGAAGACTTAGTCCAGACTTCAGGCATTGGGATGTCCCCATCCCTAGGGGCATCCAGGGAACACCTGGATGTGGCAGTGCTCCAGGCTGGGTGACAAGGTGGGGATGGGTCACAGGTTGGACTCGATGATCTTGGAGGTCTTTTCCAAACTAAGTGATTCCATAGGAAGAGCCTTGATGAATCTCCTCAATTCTGTAGAAGAAAAAGGAGGTCTGTGCTCCACATTTGAGCCTCTGAAAGATGAACAGCATCTAACACTCTTGTCCCACTGAGCCAATGACTCAAATGGCTGAAGAAATTAAGCTGAAGGGTTAAATGTGTCTAGTTTTTCCTGGGCAAGACCAACAGTTGGTTGAGTTGAGAGTAGTCTGAGAGCTAGAAATGGTTTGTTCTGCCTTTAGCAGCCTCCTCATTCCTCTGCTGCTGTGTTGCAAATCAGAAGCATAGAAATCACCCCTCTCTTTGCTAATTAACTCAGATCAGCGCTAGACGTTAATAGCTGGCAAGATGATAATCTCACCGTTTTATCACCCTAATTAGGTCATGAATTATGTCCTGTAAGATCAATAATAGTTTTCCAAGTATTCCATCATTAAGGATTAAAGATGTAATTAACTAATCTAGTCTGCCTTGCATTGGCAGCCAGGGGAAGGGGTAGGAGGGTATGAATGTGGTGCTTGTGGTATGAATGTTTCTGCTCAACTAATTCATCTGCCACAGCACACTGTAGGCAGCAACAGACTGTTCCTGGCAGTGTTTGCTTTTTTTTTTTTTTAATGTAATAACAGACAAAAACCTATGTGAAGTGACAAGTTTGCTAATTGGAAAGCTGAGCCCCCCGCAAGGCAATTAATTACTTAAGCAGAATATATGCAGTAAAATTACTGCCTTTTCGTGAAAGCATAAACCATGAATCACAGAGTCACAGAATATCCTGAGCTGGAAGGGACCCACTAGGGTGATCAAAGCCCAATTCCTGGCCTGAAACAGGATAGCCCCAAGAAGGCTGTCAGGAGTGTGGGAGGAAGCAAAACTCCAGGAGTTTCAGGGAGCAGTGTTCCTTGTCCACACTGGATTCATTTGCATGCCCAGGACTGATCCTGCAGAGCAGCAGGATTGTCACCAGACCTGTCTTCAGAGGCTTTTTATCCCACAGCTCTCCAGAGTTTGTGGGGTGTGTTTTGTGGCTCTCAGCCCATGGAAATGGTACCAAGCCAGCAGAGTGTGATCCAGCTGCAGCAGGGATTCCTTCTGCTGCAAACCCGCATCTGGGAGCACAAGCCCAGAGATGCCACAATTCCTGTGTCCTGCCACTGAGCTGGAGATGCACCTCCAACCCTGCTGGCTCATCCATTTGAGGCAGATGAAATGCTGGGGCCAAGCAGCCCAGCACAGCTTTGTAGGCAAAGGAAATTGGAGTTGTAATCCTTCTCCTGCCACGGACTGACCTTGAGACAGAGACTTTTCTGCAGGATGTAATCCCCAGCAGCCCTGAGAGAGGTAGGCAGGTAAGAAGCTTAATTGATGTTTGTGAGGCGAGGTGGGGATTACCTAAGAGGAGGTGGTAGAGGTTTGTGTGGGGTTGCTGTGCCCTGTGTGGGCTTGCAGGAAGCGGAAGGTCGTGTCATGATGTCATTTGCAATTCCTGACTCAAGTCTACATTGACGTCTTTCGAACCCTTCTCCTTCTTCCTGTCTCCTGGAGAGCTGTAATTCCTTCCTTTGTAGGGCAGCGTGTTTGCTGTGCTCCACAGCTGATCTGGGACAAGCACCTTCACACTGAGGAGCTGATTGGGATGCAGAAGATGACAAATGTCAGAGCAACAGACGCGTGACGCAGTGGAGAGTTTGCTGACCTGCTTGTTGTTGTTTCTTCACACAAATGGAAGAGAAGATTTGTCTAATGCTCTCTGCTCTGCACCACTGAAGATGTGGTGATGCAGGAATCTCAGCATTGGAGGGTTGTGTTTCTGGAAGGTGTTTGATTAGAGCTGAAAGGGCAAGTGGAGCCAAGAGGCTTCAGCTGAGAAAGGCTTTTGAGAAGCTTTGGGCTTCCTCAAGAAAGAATAATTGTTTTCCCTCTTAGGCATGGGGTCCTGGAGATCAGAGGGTGCCTCTTGGGAGTTAGAGGACAAGGTAAAGTGCAGCTTTCTGGAAAAAATGGCTGTATTTTCTCTGTTGCTGATGACTGAGGAAGAGTCTGGCTGATTGTTTGCTGTGAAAAGGGGAGAAAAAAGGCTAAAACTTGAAGCAAGGACTTGGGACAAGTAGGACACAGGACAAGGCAGACGTGTTTAGAGAGCAGCCACACAGTGTGTGGAGCTCTGGAAGGTGGATGCAGTGCCCACCCTCAGATCCAAAGGCTCTTCAGCTGTTGCAGTGCTGAAGTTAGTGGCCAGTGTTGCTGGGTGGAAAGAAGTTACCGTGGAAGTTTTGTTTCTGGGGAAACGAAGCTGTTGTGTCATAAATCTGAGACCTAAAGCCCAGGGAACAGGTCTGACTTTCTTTGGATAAAACCCTGAAGCCATGGCGTGCCCTCTGGCTGCTGTGGCCCCCTTCCCTTGGCTCTCACGTGCCATTGGCATGATCTGGCCAAAGGGTCCCTCCAGCTTTCTGCGTGGAACGCTGGAAGTTTGTAAGCAGACGGGGTAAGCAGCCCAGCAGCATCACTCAGGAATGTGAAATATTTCCAAGTGGCTCTTTCTAGAAGTGAAGCAGATTCCTGATGTGTGGATCATGGAGAAACTTCCCTGCTGTTCCTGGGGTCAGTGGTGGGAGGATCTGTGGGGGTGGGAGGTCCAGCTCTCACCTGTCGTGTTGTACTTTCAGAGCTCTGCACCCTCGCCCTCCTTCATTGTGCTGCTTTTATTCAAATATTCCTTAGTAGCAGCCAGGGAAACACCAAGTTCTACATGTTTGGAGAAGGTACACCCTGCCTTTGGAGTCACAATATGACCAATATCACTGCCTCTCTCTGCCTGGCCTCGGGTTTTATTTCCCTTGTGACCATTTACTGTTAAAGCACTGTTCCTCCTGGGACACTTTGTATTCCGGGACAGACAGCTATAAATTAGAGTCATCTTCTTTTCTTCCACCAGAGACCTTACTTCTTCAGGAAGAGTGGCCAGAGGGGGTAAAAAGTGCTTTTCCTGACATCCCAGGAGAGTCTGATTAAATTGTAGGATGGCTGTGTGCAATTTGGCTTGGTGGCCCTGGGGAGGAGGATGGCAAGGAACATGTGAATGCCAGCCCTTTGCCACCCCAACCTGGGTGCCAGTGGTTCACTGGAAGGAATAGCTTTGACCCTGGGAATTTGCATTACCTCTGAGATTTCCAGAATTCCAGTACTCCAAATATTTGAGGAGAGGAATGGCCAGTTTGTTGAAAACATTTCTTGTGAGGTTTGCCCCACCAAGTGCAGCCTGTGGTGTGTGGTTCCCCATGGTGAGAGGGAATATCAGTGACACACAAAGGATGCACTTTGTTGGACCCTCAGCAGGAGCTGACTGTGCCATGAGGAGAGTGGCTGGACTGGAAGGGAGAACAGGATGCAGCTGGGTGTGTTCTCCATGAAAGGTGAGGCTGCAGGTTGAAATGAGGGGAAGGAAAAGAAGGATCCACTGTATGGGCTGCCTGATGTCTGTGCAGTGATAGATTGGGTTGTGAAATTTGGAACATGAGTAGGAGAGGGGCAGGGGGCTACTGGGTGAAGAGGAGGAGGAGGAGGAGGAGGAGGAGGAGGAAGGTGAGCCTTGCCCAAGGGACAGGCTGGGAGCCACTGGTCCAATTTGCATTACCTCTGAGATTTCCAGAATTCCAGTACTCCAAATATTTGAGGAGAGGAATGGCCAGTTTGTTGAAAACATTTCTTGTGAGGTTTGCCCCACCAAGTGCAGCCTGTGGTGTGTGGTTCCCCATGGTGAGAGGGAATATCAGTGACACACAAAGGATGCACTTTGGAGCTGGATATGTCAGTTTGGACCCTCAGCAGGAGCTGACCGTGCCATGAGGAGAGTGGCTGGACTGGAAGGGAGAACAGGATGCAGCTGGGTGTGTTCTCCATGAAAGGTGAGGCTGCAGGTTGAAATGAGGGGAAGGAAAAGAAGGATCCACTGTATGGGCTGCCTGATGTCTGTGCAGTGATAGATTGGGTTGCGAAATTTGGAACATGAGTAGGAGAGGGGCAGGGGGCTACTGGGTGAGGAGGAGGAGGAGGAGGAAGATGAGCCTTGCCCAAGGGACAGGCTGGGAGCCACTGGTCCAGTGACCGGACTGCGGGACAGGAAACCAGTTTCCTTCAGCTGCTGCTAATGGGCTGTGTGACCTGCACAAGCTGCCCTACTTCTCTGTGCCTCAGTGATCCAGCGAGCAGCCAAGTGAGCTCAGCACTTGCCTTCCTATGTCAGAGCTCCCACGGGCTGCCCGTGCACAGTTCATCCTCTGATTTCTGCCAGAGAAATCAGAAATTTCTTTCTCACTCGCTCGTCACCGAGCGGCTCCTGCGCCTTCGCTGCTGGAGCCGAACCATTTCTGACAGGTCAGGGTTAGAATTCAGCAAATACAAACACTGACCATGCTAGGGCTTTTCTCCAGAGAGCTGGGATGTTCTGCTGGACCTGACTGTTCTCTGGCAGCCCTGCTGTGAACGCTCCTTTAGCCAGGAACGCCAAGGTGCCCGTGGCACTGCTGGGCATTTCTGGGCATCTCAGCCAGCACAGCGCTGGGAGGGAGCCAGGGGTTCTGAAATGGCTGGAGCTGGGAAATGGAAGGGAGCTCTGGGGCAGCATTGAGAGGTGCCTTGCTCTGGGGGATTAGTGCCCATCCTGGCTGGAGCTGCTCCCTATTTGGATATATGATTTAATCCAATCTGCCCAATCTGTCAGTAATGAAGTAGAGGAGAGAATGCATTCCACCCAGGAGGAGAGGGCTCAGCCAAAAAGCTGCTAACTAGGTCACTGATGAGCAATCTTTCCCCTCCCTCTGTGTCATTTTTATTAATCACTTGAAAAATAGGTTGAGTAATGATTGCAAGCAACTTGTCAAGCCAATTAAAAACAGAGAAAGGTAGGGCTGTGAAGCCGAAGACAAATGCTGTGCTGGTTTTAAATGAGTGTCTGTAAACCCCACTGACCTGTGAGTAATTGCCTCCAAAAAACCTGGCAGCATGTGTGTTTCTCAGTGTGAAGGTTTGTTTCTTTTGCATCCACAGGGCAAACAGTTCACCGTGGCCCAGAGATGTATCAGCAGAGCAAAATCACTTTGAATCTGTCTTGTAGCTGCCTTAGTCTGCTTTGACTCTTAGCATGTGGAGTCTCCAGTGGGGCTTGTCAAAGAGTTTAGTGCACTTTGAATGTAAAATAAAAATGCTACAGAGCACTTACTCCTTTTATTTTATGTAATTTGCCCGAATCTAAGCTCCCATAGCTTTATAATCTGTCCAGCTGGAAGATAAATTGTCAAATCTTATTTATTGAAGAGGGAAAAGAGCTTCTAGGTAATCTCACCATCGTCTCAGTTCGGTGGGGTGAGTCTCCCCAGAGTGGATTCTCCAGGACCATTCAGCAAATTCAGCACTGGTGTTGTTTTGGTTTATTTTTACGTGTCGGATGGATTGTGTGTGCCAACAATAAATATTTATACTCCTGCATTCCTCTGCCTCTCTATCTGTGTTTTGTCTCCTGTGAGATGCGTGCCAGCACTGTGGGTGCTATGAGACAACATTACTCTTTGGGAAGCTGGTGTAGAGTGTGTGAGATCCTGCTGTCCAGGATGTTTCTTCCCATCTGTTCCTGGCTCAAATCCCCTTCTCCTCACTTTTAGTCACCACTTTTGGTTACCATTCATAGCCTGAAATGTGATATTAAGGAGAAGAATACAAATATGTCGTGCTGCCTTCCTTCTCTTGCTGCTGCTCTGTCAGCTGGGTGGCAGTAACAAAAGGCAATTAGTGACACAAATATGCTTTCCTGGGGGTAGTTGAGAAGAGCCTTTCTCTGGAACTATTTGTGGCACAAATGGAAAAACACATGCTTCCCTCCTGCCTAAAAGGAGTAGCAGCCCAGGGGAGGGCAGGGGTGGATCAATAACCTGCCATCTCTTCAGCATTAGGCTCTTGTTTTGTAGCACCTCTGAAACCTCAGGGTGGAGGAGGGTACAGGAAGCACAGAACACAACAGAAGATTTATTTTTTACTAGTGCAGAACTTGTTTAAAACCTCCTGCCCTTGCCAAGCAAGAAATCAAATTAAACCATGATTTGCTCCCATTCCGTCCTGGGGAGCTTTCCCTTCTCCCTCTAACTCTGTTGTAGCCATCACACAACCAAACCTCCTCTTTCCAGTCTCCTTTTCCCCCTCCCCATGCAAGTTTTTGGGTTTTTCCTGTGGGAAGCAGCCCTGTGCCTGAGCCCACCTGTGTTTTTGCCCTCCAGAGTTAATGAGCTCTACGTGGATGACCCAGACAAAGACAGTGGAGGGAAAATAGAAGTGAACCTGAACATCAGTTTGCCAAACCTGCACTGTGAATGTGAGTACCCCTTCACTTAGCAGCTTTTCTTTGTGCTTTGAGTAATACTTGAAATGGGCCCAGACTGGTACAGTGGCCCTTCTTCTGTAACAGGATGGAAATAAGTGGCTGCAGCCTCTGCCAATATCCCATTGCTTTCTGTTCCAGGCCAGGGCACCTGTTTTCTTGGACCATGTGTTAGTGGCTTATCTCCTTCACTGGCTTCTTTCTGAATCTCATTTCCTTTTTTTTTTTTAATAGCAACTTTTTTTGTGTCTGGGAGCAAGAAACCACCTCCCAAGTTCCATTTGGAACTCTGAATGCACCAGCTGGTTGTTGGCTCTTCCTAAGTCACCTGCCTTGTCTGCCTGAAGTTTTTCTGTTTGTGTGACTGGAAGTGCAGCTGGCAGGACATGGGAGGTGTATTTGTGTCAAACGGGCCGCGTGAAAAGTTTGGTTACAAAGCTGTTCTGGTGTAACAATTTTTGACAAAGGACATTATCACCTCAGTTTAGTCCAATGTCAGGAAAAAAGGTGTGGATTTTTTTCAAGTAAAAGCAATGCATGCTTTTCCTATGCAACCTTCCTGTTACTTATTTTGTTTGATTTTTTTTTTTTTTGTCTTTCCCTCCCACCCCTGCAGTGGTTGGACTGGACATCCAGGATGAAATGGGAAGGCACGAAGTGGGTCACATTGACAACTCGATGAAGATCCCTCTCAATAATGGGGATGGCTGCAGGTTTGAGGGCCATTTCAGCATCAACAAGGTGAGTGGCAGTGACAGTGGGTGAGGGTGTGCTGGCTGGGGAAATGCTGGCAGGATCCATTTGTATAAATGAAAATTTGGAAATCTGTGTCTCTGCTGCTGTGTGTGTGGTTTTGACCCTGATCAGACAGAAACTCAGGTCAGCGTGGGGAGAGGAGGCTGCGTGGATAGATCCACAGGGAATGTGTTAGATCATGGTTTTTCTCCACTCTCCAAAGCAGGTAATGGAGACAGAATTGCTGATCAGAGAGAGCAGCTCTGTGCAGCAGCCAATGTTCAGGGGATGTGTGAAAACCCTACAGATGCCAAAGGGCTTCTGTGTTTACTCCTCACGACTTCTGCACCTCCAAAACCTGACTCACTGTGGAGAGGTCTTTGGCAGTGGCTGCATCCCAGCTCTCCTTTGTTCTGAGAGCTGCAGAATGACAGGAATGTTCCCTGCTGGAGGATGCCAGGGCTCCTTGCTGGGATGTTTGGAATACTGCACGTGGCCCCACGCATGCTTGGTGGGGATGCTCTGCTTCTGTCTCAAGGAATGAAAATCCAGGCCTGGAGGAGGCTCCTCTTTGGGATGGGTGTGTTCAAGATTGAATAATCTTGCTATGTAATGCTGGAGATGACTTGCTGGGGTGGGGGAGGCACTGGTGGGACCCGCTGATGTCCTAAGAAGGGCACACCCTTTATTCACTCCTCTTCATGTACCACAGGCTACACAAAATCCTGCTTCCTTCTTGTCCTCCCAGGTCATGTTATAGCACATCTAAAAATAACAGACAGGACCTCTTGCTGATTCTGTGGCATGGAAAGGATTAGGGATTTAAAAAGAGGAGTTTTTCCTCATCTCCAAGCCATCAGGATTGCTGGCAGCTGGTAGCCCACAAAAACTGGGAAAGGGCTTCTGGAAAGGTAGTTCTTTTCCAGACAATTCCCAGAGCACAGAGCTGAGGTACCTGGGGGTTTGTCTGCTGGATGTGGTGTGTCCTGCTCACAAAGCAGCTCCAGAAGGGGCAGAATGTGGCACTGAGGAGCTCCTCCACTGCTCATTTGTGTCTCATTTGGTGGCTGGGACAGCTGTCACAGGCAGGGAGCTGACCCAGGACTTCTGGCTCTGGAAACCCAAATCTCTTGTGTGTGACCTGGCAGTGTGCAGTCCCTTGGCAGGAATTGGACAGGCTGAGCTGGGAGCTGGAGTGGGACCTGGCCAGCCTTGGAAACTTGACCAAGGCTTGCACTTGGGTGTTGCTGTCCCAGCTGCTGAGGGAGGACAGGGTGACAGTGAGATGATGGCTTGTGCTGCTTGCTGCAGGGCCTGACGCCCTGTTTGCTCAGCTTGTTTATGACACAGCTGGTGTCCACACCTGAAAGTGTTCCCAGGAGTGCACTGCTGTTCCTCAGGTCATTAAATCAGCTTTCCTGAAAGCACATGGAAGGGCATGTGGCCTCCCATGGCCCTGCTGGTGAGGTGTCTCTGCAGAGAGCACACTGGGCAGCAGTTGTATAACCATCCTCCCACTCCAGCCTTGGGCTGTGCCACATTGCTCCTCAGGGTTGCTTCATTTCACAACCTTTTCTCAATAGGAAAATATTCTTGCACCCTCCATGACAGTGATTGAGCTGAATCTGCTGAAGGACTTCAGGGCTAGTGACCTGAAAAGTGTGTGCATGCAGAGTGGTGCCATCAGAGAAACACCAGGGCTCATTTTCTGTCTTGGAACTGAGCCTTTAGGTGAAGGTTGTGTTTTTCAGTTCTTTGTATTTCCCTCCATTAACAAAAATTAAAAGGAAGGGCCCCTGCTAGCTTCTGCCAAGGGGAAGATCTAGGTTAGTTTTTATGGGATGCCCACATGGGTTTGGTGGTGGATTTTCTCTTTATATAAAACTCATTCTTGCACACAATCTCAGAGGTAAAGTTGCTCATGACTGGTACCAGAAGAGAAATACATCCCCAGCTTCCTGGGCTGCTCTGCAGCAGTGGGCCCGTTTGCAAGTGCCAGATGTGGGAGTAAGACATTGAGCAAGAGAGACAGGAATTTTATTTTAATAGGGATGAAAGACATAGCCTTAAGTGCTGGGAATCCCTGGAGCTGGGAGTGACCCACTCATCACCCCCTGGTCAGGAACATCAGCAGTGTGGGGGTGCCAGACTGTGGGGCTGCAGGACTTGAGTGCGGTGGTGTTGGTCAGCTGCAGAAAGGTATCACACATTCTTCCATCTTCCTGGATGGATCCAGGCATTCCCATGTCACATCACAGAGCCTAGCAGTGCCTTGAGGGATAAAATGTGAAATCCTGTCTTCCCTGTCGTGGCTAATTTTAGGTCCCTGGTAACTTCCACGTGTCGACGCACAGCGCGACGGCGCAGCCCCAGAACCCCGACATGACTCACGTCATCCACAAGCTCTCATTTGGGGACAAGCTACAGGTGAGTCCTGAAAGTTCCCTGGCTGTAGGGGAATGCAGTGAGAGTGGTTTAATATTAGACACTTTGGTTTCATGGAAGGCCTGTGTGTCCCTGCAATGTAAGCTCAAGGCTGGAAGAGTTCACAGCTGCCACCAGGAGCAGTGTCCAGTCACAGAGCAACTGTGCTGTGTTCTTCTGAAACTCAAAGTGCTTTTGGAAAACTCCTTGGAGAGAGTTAGAAAGGAGGGTTTGTGGCTCAGCAGAACCCTGGTTTTAGCATGAATGCAGCAAACAAGCCTTTCTGCCTTTGTGGAGGAGCAGTGATGCACTCAAGGAAGATTGTCTGGCTACTGTGTTCACCACAGCAGCAGTCAAGCTCTTTTTAATTCTCTTCACTCTACTTGTGTAGCAGACACTTATTAGTCAAATTTGCTCTGTGAAACACAAGTTAGACTTAGCACTGCCAGTTCCCTGCTGGGAAGAAGCTGAATGCATGCACTTGCCCAGTGGATAGAATTTCACCAGGTGCTGCAAGTTATGTAACATTACCTGATTTCTCAATAAGGACAGATTACAGCACTTCTCTAGCCTACTTCCAAGGAGCTGCCCTCACAGGTGGGAGTTCCACATGTGCACACCCAGCTTGAGACTCACCCTAAACATTGCTTACCCGTAGTCTCTCTGTAATCTTCTTTCCTCAGCACAGACGTCTCATTAGTCTGCTCGTTGTACACCCACTTCCAAACCCCTTTTTCATGCTAACAAGTCTAAGCGTTGCTTTGTAGTCTTCTGATTCTGCTCCCGGCTTGTTTTAGGAATTATCTTGTGTGGGAACGAGGAAATATTAGCGTATAAATAAGCTTGGCTTAATGTCTGTAAAGCACACTGAGATTATGAAAAATAGGAGGTGAGTGGTAATAGGGAGTTGTGCAGCCTGCGTGGGAAATGGGTGCTCTGAGGAAGCATTCCCATTGTTTTATCATGGAGTGCTGGAGCAGGGCAGCTGGAGTGTGAATCAGCATGAAGGAGGAGCCTGGAGAGACAAGCAGCAAGTGTCTTCAGTTCTTGTGGTGAGAAACCTGTCTGGCAAATGTGGAGTTGGCTCCTGACTGGGGCGAGTTCAGAGGAGTGTTTTCAGAGTTGAGGATAACTGCTCGTGGTCTGAGCGCTCAGGGAGGGAGCACGTAGGTGCTGCAGGCAAGCAGCAGCTCAGCAGCACAAATTAAAGAAGGATATCTTCACCAAACAGGTGCTACCACGACTCAGCAAGCAGTGAGAGCCAGCAAGTGTGGGGAGCTTTAAATCTGCCTAGGTGCACCTTTGAATATTTCAGGTTGTCTCCACCTGCTTTGATGTAATAAAAGTTTATATTCCTTGCAGAGGGTGAGGAGCTTCTCATTCATTTGTGTCATGTGCTGGGAGTTTGTTCTGTGTGGGTTGGGACTGACTCTGCCACAGTGATCCACTGAGGGACAGGCTGTGTTCTCCAGAAAAACCAGTCTCTTTGAAGCAGAGATTTAAATATCATCTGGCACTGAATGAGCTTTGAGGCTTCATCAGTGCTTTGTGCACAATAGTGGCAGACTTGCTGTAGATTTTTCATCCTCATTTAGATGAGATCAGAAGAAAAACCTGCAGCATTAAAACTCCTGCAGTGAGTTCCTGTGTGTCAGGTAACCCAGTAAGGAGAGGGATGAGGAGAGCAGGAGATGATGCCTTTTGACTATCAGGGGCAGGCAACTCTCCTGACAAGGTTAAAGCCAGGATTATTTAACACCATAATGTAGAACTCAGTAAAAATTATGATTAAAAATGCAACATCTCCTATTTCCACATCTCTCTCTCTACTGAGTTACCTGATGGCTGGACGTAGGAACTCATTGGTTTGAATTTTGGTCTTGATGAGGGGAAAATCTACCACAATTTTGAATTGGACCTCCAGATAATCTGTAGGAGACTTCTTAGCTGTATCAAGAATGGAACACAAATCCTCCTTCCAAACTCTTCTTCCCTGTTGTCTGACTTAAGGTCAGGAATTTCTGGGTTGTGGAGTTTTTGTCCTTTCTTTGTACCTTGTGAGCAGCACAGCCTCTGACCTGCAGCTGCTGCCATGGGCTTTTCCCTGTCTGGAGAGTTCACACATGGATGATTGTGTTGCTGGAGATCAGACTCCAGGTCACAGTGTGTGCAGGGCATGGAAATGCTGTTATTCTGGGCAAACAGATACTCACAGGCCTGAAATCAGCTGCAGGAAGAGCTGAAGGGATGTCAGTGTTGGGATGTGTCCTTCCCACCTCCGAGGCTGAGTTGTACAGACCCAGCTGCCCTGACACGAGCCACCTCTGGAGGAGAAAACTGCTGAGTTTTAACCCCAGTGTGACTCCCATCTGTTTCCCTTTCAGTCTGATAAAATTAATTTCACAGTTAACTCTGCAAAGCTCTTAGGAAATACCTCACGGTGGAAATTTCACAACTGGCCTCTTCCAACTGCAATTCCTTTAGCTTTGGAGTGGTTTTGGAGTTTCATCTCGTAAGATGTTGTGAAATCAGCTTTTTCACTTGGAGCCAGCCACTGTGATGATGGTCACTGAAAGATATTCGGGGTCATCTTCTACTGGGTTGAGGCTTTGTTTTTTTGGAAGGGTTGAATCAGGCTGATCCCCTGCTTACAGGGTAGGGAAGCAAAGGTCAGGAGTATCAAGTCAGAGCAGAGTTTCTTCATCCTCCTTTTTGCTTTCCAGGTCCATAACGTTCACGGAGCATTCAATGCCTTGGAGGGAGCAGACAAGCTCAGCTCAAACCGTGGGTATTCCTGGGAACTGCAGCTCTCAGCCACCCTCTGCAGGAGGGAAAGCAGAGCCATTCATGCTGTATCCAGAAGTCTTTCATGTGCCTCTTTAGCCAAAATGATCCAGACATTGCTGGCTGGCATTTCCATTTCCTCCAGTGCTACAGAAAAGGCTTAGCCCACAAGGTCCCCTGCAGTCCTTGTGGAGTTTTTTATCCATATCCTATGCCTGTAGTGTCCCTTTGCTGCTGTTACTTCCACCAGAACTTTGCCTTGTACTTGTGTTGCAAATTAACTTGAAATTTTTACTCTGTGGATGGCAAAAAGGGACATTTTTATGGCCCAGCACGAAAAGGAAAATTCAATGTGTGCTACAATTCAATGTAGAGAGTTGTCTCTCAAATATTCAGGCTCCTCCAGGACATCAGTCCTGTCCATTTCTTGGAACAAAATTTCTCTGGCTGTTCCTGAAGCTATACAGTTGTGGTTTGGGGATTTTTTACCTCCAGAAGCCAAATGTCATCATGTTACACTTGGCTAGAGGATCCTCCAGAGATGTAATTTAGAATTCTGTTTTAGAACTGTTTTAGCAGACACAAAAATTGGAATGAGCCATTTAAATAATGAAAAAAAAGAGTTAAGAAAAAAAGAGTTAAGCAGCTGTAGGAGAAAGAGGATGAGAAAGCAAGAAAGAAATGAAGCACACAGGTTGTGATAGCTCAGGTTTTTTAGTCACAATGATCTCAGTGGGCTGCAGCCCTAACCTCAGCCAGTTCCTGATTTAACCAGGCTGTTCGTGGTGGTGATAAAAGTGTTACCATTTATAGTTGCAAGCAGTTAGGAGGGTTGGAGTAACCCAAACCTTGGGTGGGTTGTGGTCCTACAGATGTGGTGGGCGGCTTCTGGTGTCACCCAGGCACCCGCCAGAGTTCTGAACAAAGGGCACAAACGTGGCATGTGAAGCTTTGTCCCTGAGATAAGGAGGAGGGAGTCACCCTTTTTTGTGACTTGTTCTGTGGGCTGGCTCCTTTCTCTCAGTGCTAACGTGTCCTTCCCTTCCTTCCCTGAGCACAGCCCTTGCCTCTCACGACTACATCCTGAAGATCGTGCCCACGGTGTACGAGGACATGAGCGGCAAGCAGCGGTACTCCTACCAGTACACCGTGGCAAACAAGGTAAAGCAGCAGCTGCCTCTCCATCCAGAGGCTCCTCTCTGCATCCCAGAGGATGCTCAGCCACCGTTCCTCCCGCCCTGTGGGTTTGTAGGTGAGCAGTAGCCTCTGCTGGGAGAAGGAGGAACTGAAGCTGCTCGGAGTGGGGCTTTTCCTGCTGCTGGAATTTGCCAGGGTTGGGGTTGGGAGGGCTTGTCAGAGCAGGTGGTGCTGGTGCTTTCATTCCTGAGGAAGGTGTTCTTCCTGCTGGCGTGCTCACCTGTCAGTTTGGCTGATGTGGGTTTCTGTAAGTTGTGTGGGAGGTGTTTACAGGCTGTTGTGCCTGGCAAGGTGATTCTGAATGGAAACTGGAATCCAGCTGAACACACAAAACATCACTTACACCTGGTTCTAGGAACTAAACAGTCTCAGTTGTGATGGATAGATGAGACAAATCAGCAGAGTTTTTAGCTTTTTACAAATGTTGATTTCAGGCATTAAGTCACTGAACTGTAGCAGCAAATATGTGCTGGTTGAGTATTTCACAGTCCCTGCATTATGATAGTGAATTATCACAGAATCCATTCATTTGGAAAAGATCCAAGATCACCAAATCCTACCAGTGACCAATTCCCACCTTGTCACCCAGCCCTGAGCATGAGTGCCACATCCAGCGTTTCAATAATTCAATGTATTGAATTATTTAAGGAAAAAAAGGACCCTAATTACTTTATACAGTAGAAAGCATCTTCCAGTTGAAAATTATTTGCCATTCAGGTGCTAAATGAAAGTCCAAAATCTGTTTGTAATATCTAATTACTTCTAGTTTGCTCTAACTGATAATCAAGCACACACTCTCCTGGACTAATTCTCAGATTAATGTTCCTGACTGGTGACTTTTGGGCTTGCTTGTATGATGTGTCCCAGGGATTTGGACATCTCCCTCTGTTCAGATTACAATGAATTTGTTCTGCTTAATGTCACAACTGCTGTTCTGATAAGACTTGTGTGACAAGAGTTCTGAAAGTAATTTGGAAAATAGCAGGAGCTTTTGACACTTCTGTGAGCTTGGCTGCAAATTGAGGCGTTCAGCCAAGTCTGACTCATTAGGGCAGGATTGCTGGTGGGGAGAAGGGGAGAGGAAGGAAAAAATGAGGTCAGTTCTATCAAAACTGAGGTGCTGAGAAGCACTGTGCTTTCTTCTCGTGGTGCTTCAGTCCTTCACTCCACACTGAGCAGTGGGAAAGGGAAATGGGAAGCCCCTGGAAGAGTCTGGCACAGAGTGGCTGCTGTGAGGAGAGTCTGGAGGGTATAAACTCTGTCTCCTCTCTTAGCTCCCCTGTTTCCTGCCTTCCCACACTGTCCCAAAGTGAGCTGCAGAACTCCAATAAAAGCCTGAGAATGACATGACTGGGGACTTCTGCTTCTCTTGTCATCATGGGATGAACTACCTAAAAATAGGGAAATTTGGGATTTATATGAGATGATTGAAGATAAGTCACCAGCACACAGAGAGCAAAATTAATTTTGCTTTGTGTCATGTTCACGAGCGTCCTGTTGCTTGCTCTTTTTTCATCTTTCTGAAGTATTTGAGGCTGTCTTTGCCTCTTTGTGTAGGAGAATTGCACCAGGAGGGGAGATGTGAGCTGGCAGCCTGTCACAGGGCTGAGGGAGGGAGAGGCAGCCTGTGCCACCCTGGGTTCTCCTTGGACTGTGGCTCCCCAGCCTGCTTTCCTGGGGTTTTTCTTCACTCTGTGAATGTCTGAAAACTGATACCTATCTCCACTGCCAGCACAGACAAAATATTATCTCAGGAATGATAATATTGATGTGGCTTTAGTTACCAGGCTGGTGCTGGTGCAGGGCAGTGTGTCCTGCTGGGTGCTGTCCTGTGCCTGTGGCTGGCACTGGACCTGGTAGGAAACAAATGGATTAAAGGAGAGTGGCACTGGAAATCTGGAAGATGTCTCTTCCAAAGCAGCCTGGGATATTTTTTGAACCTTTGCCAATATTTTTCGAAGCTTTGCCAATATTTTTCTGTATGCAGTTTCATCCTGGCTTTCAGCAGGAGTGTTAAACGTGGTTTGAACATGGTTGCAGATGATTCATACTAAGAGGGCAAAGCATTCCCATTGCCAGTGGGGAGAGGGCCTGACGAGGGAATACAAGGACAAGGAGGGATTTTCAGGTTCTTACAAACTAAATTCCATTTGTTTGGTGAATGATTTATATACAAAATATAGACATACAGAACCAAAACTTCATCTGCATCCGGGCTGTTTGTATTTAAATAGAGCAGATCTAGGATGGAGAATCAATGACAGCCTTCCTGTTTAGTCCTGTAACTCTGAATGAAGGTGAGAGTAATCACCACCACTCTGTCCCCAGCTCTTTCATTGTCAGCCTGTAAAGAGATTGTTTTCCTCTTTGATAAGGATGGGAGGTGAGCAGTCACACAGGAATTCTCTGCTTCTTTCCATCTGGTCACTGCTACAAAGCAGTGGGGTGAAGGCCAAACCCACGGAGGCAGTTTTCTGGCAGACACTCTCTGGAATGAGTTTGCTCACACTTTGTGCCATTTTCTCCCCTTTTTGCCCCTGTTTTTCCCCAGGAATACGTGGCCTACAGCCACACGGGCCGCATCATCCCGGCCATCTGGTTCCGCTACGACCTGAGCCCCATCACAGTGAAGTACACAGAGAGGAGACAGCCTTTGTACAGGTTTATCACATCGGTGAGTTACCCAAAACGCTCCTTCTCCCTTCCTCTGCCTGCCTTTCATGTCCCTCCTGAGCCTTTCTTGCCCAGAGGAGCTGAGTTTCTGCCTCAGGGCGCTGAGATGTGGTGGGGATAAAGCAGCACATCACTGGGGTGGTGCTGGACTGGGAGGTGACTCCAGTGCTCTGACAACTTGATTTAATAGCTGGGCACAAAAAGAAGGAAAATTAACCTATTCCAGAAGTGCCAGGCTCTGTCTAGGCAGGATGGACTCTATTGCAGCATGCCAGAAGTTTAGAAGTAAAGCTGATGTGGTGAGCAAGAAAGCTGCAATGAACTGCTCACTAATGATGAGATCAAATGTGCAGAGAATCTGGAGTGGTTGGGTTTGGAAAGAACCTTAAACCTCATCCCATTCCACCCCCTGCCATGGGCAGGGACACCTCCCACTGTCCCAGGTGCTCCCAGCCCTGTCCAGCCTGGCCTTGGGCACTGCCAGGGATCCAGGGGCAGCCACAGCTGCTCTGGGCACCCTGTGCCAGGGCCTGCCCACCCTTTTCCACCCCGAAGTCATCCTGGTCTCACCAGAGGATTTTTATTTGTTCAGGTGAGGGAAGGAGAACTGTTAGATGCCACAGAGCTGCCTGTCCTTGCTATCTGCTGGTATTTAGGTGATTTTTGCAGTAAATAGGAAGAAAACTGGCAGTGTTTTCTTCTCCTCAGCCATTTTTCTCCTCTCCTACAAGACACTGAATTTTTTTTCCCTCCTGACCATTCCCTTCTCCAGGCTGAACAGACCCAGGTCTCTCAGGCTTTTCTCATGGGAGGGATGCCCTTAATCATCTCTGTGGCCCTTCTTTGGACTCTCTCCACTATTTCCATGCTTCTCTTGTACTGAAGAGCTCAGAACCGGGCACAGCACACCTGGTGTGGTCTCAGCAGTGCTGAGATTTTATCAGCCATTTTTCTCCTCTCCTACAAGACACTGAATTTTTTTTTTTTACACTGAGTTTTAATCAGTGCTGCTGCCTGGCTTAATAAGGAGTGCCACTTCCAGGTATTTACTCCTGAGTAGAAGTGGAGAAGAGCAGTATTATCAAATTCCAGAGGTGTTTTCCTGACGAGTTACATTTGGATGTGTCCAGAGAGCATCCTGCAGTCCTGCTCTCAGCATCCAGAACAAAGCTGTGCTGGCCAAGCTGCTCATTAGGCAAAGAGCTATTTAAAGATCCTCCAAAACTTTAAAAAAAAAAAAGTGTCTTCAGGGAGTTGGCTTAAAATTGAAGCTGCAGTGAGCTGTGCCAGTGAGGCATGGTGGAATGTGAAGCAGTTGATAAATTGGCTGCAGTGAAGACCTCAAATTCTGATTTTTAAACTGTTTGACTGTTTTAACTGGAATTCACATAAACAGTGTGGTGGAGTTGCACTTCAAGATTTTGATTTTGTAACTTTTGATAAACAGCAAGTTCCCTTCACTGAACTTTAGACAGTGAATAGAATACACAAATAACCAGAGAAGGGGGGCTTGAAGTAAAACCTAAATGTCGTGGTGAAAAACTTTCTCTTCTTAGCACGTCTGCTTGGCTTCGAAACATAATCCTAAAAAAGGTCAAAAATCAGCATTTCATGACTTGGCATCTCATTCTGCCTCTGCTTATTTCCCTAAAATTGTGCTCCCAGAAGTTTCTTACACATCTTGTTGGGGGTGAGGGTGTGGAGGTGTTTTCATGGGAAATGATGAGATAGCTGGGATTATTCTTTAATTTTATTATCAGCATTGATTCACTGCTGATCTGCCATTATATGCCCATAAAAAGCATCTTTTTTGAATGATGTCCTCCTTCTGAATTGACATAAGGGACCACAGGAGAGAATTTCCTCCCAGCTTGCCACAGTGACATTTCGGGTTTGTATCTCATTTGAATTTGTATCCCATAACCTCAAAAACTGAAATGTGTGTTTCCTACTGAGAATCCAAAAATGGAGCAGCAGTTCCACTTCTGTTTCTGATAAGATTTAAAGGTTGATTAATTCTCATTAAATAAGAGTTTCAGTTTCTCCTCTTCCCCAAAATAACAGTGCTCTCCACATACCCTGTTCCTCACTGGACTCAGTCTGAGTGTTTAATCACTGGCCCAAGGATGAATTTTGCCCTGTTCTGTCTTTAAAGGTAGCCAGGCATTTCCTGGCTGCTTAAGGGAAGTTTTGCAGTTGATTTTTGGCTGCCTTGTTTGGTCCTGTGAATGGCTGTGGTGTCAGGCAGCTCCCTGGGGCTGTTCCAGCTGAGTGTCCTCACTCCGGGGGGTGAGGATGATGCTGGTGGCTGTGTCAGGATGTCACACAGGTGTGACAGGCACAGGCAGAGCCTTGTTCCAGGGGTTGGATCCTGGCCCTGCTGAGCTGCTCTGGGCTCCTTTGGGCCAGGATTGCTGTTCAGGAGAGCAGCCTTTTCTCTGCATCACAGCTGGGCAGGGGCAGCAGCACTGCAGAGGACCTGAGCCCCTGCAGCCCTGCCCTGCTGGATGACATGGTCTGTTCTTCAGCCCCTTCCTGCATCTCCAGCCTGGCCTTTTGCATCACAGCTGCTCTGGAGACCACTTAGTGATGGCCAGCACTGGGCTGAGGGCCAGCAGGGGCTGGGCTGGGGCGTGTGGAGTCACTGCCTGGCCATGGAAAGCAGCAGCTTGCTCAGTTTAAAAACCACAAGACACGCTCTGGGTTAGGGGCTCCTTCACTGTTTACTTGGGCTCCCCTGTGGCTTTCACTAAATTCAAATTAGTGCTGGCATGGGGGTGATCCTGGGCACTCCAGAGAGGCTTCAGGGGTCAGTGATGGAGGGAAGGGCACACTGCTGAGGGTGATGCCATGGGAGAGGGGTGTTGGCTGCCCAGCACAGAGCCAAAGCATCTCCTGCTGCTGGCAGGGTTATCTGGTGCTCTTTGTCACTCATGGCTTTGCCCTCCAGAGCCTCAGCACTGCAAAGAGCAGGGTTACAGCTCTGTAGCAGCATTCCCACATCCTCTCTGTCCCCATTCTAACCCATGCCTGCTCCTTAGATCTTTGTGGTGTGAAGAATTACCCTAATTTTCTGTACCATGTGAGAGGTGCTTCCCGTGCAAAGGCTTTGCTTTAAAATAAGGGGTTTTTTTACTTTGCATGTCATGCTCAAAAAAGGTCAGTACTAAATAAGATTTTACATTTCTTGTGGGTCAGTGCTGCCATTGTCACTGTTCCATGAGTTTGTCAGGGATCCTGGAGTTAAGCACAGACACTTGGCAGTGTTAAACACAGGGGTGTTTTTTGCCTGTCAAATTGCACTGCTTAAAATCAACTTATCCCTCATAAAGAGAAGCCATTCAAGACCTCCTGGTTGAGGTTATGGAGCAAGGGGAAAAGTTTCACTGCTGAAAATTCATGAGTTCCTGTAAGTAGCCAAACTGAAAGAAGGTTTTATCAAGAGTTCAGTGTAGGGGCTCGGATGGGAGAGCAGGCAGAAAAGCAGCCAAAGTTCTGCTGAAACATTCAAAATCCAAATAAATTTTTTTCCTGGTATGAGAGGACTCATCTGGCCTCTAGGTGTGAAAAAAAAAAAGTTAAACTGGAAGCAATGGAGATGGTGGGAACTGTAGCAGAGTGGTTGCAGGCAGAGAAATTTCAGCCGTGGGAGCTGGTACTGACAGGTGTCACAGTCCTGTGGCATTTTTAAAGCCAAATAATGCAAAATGTGGTGAAAATCTCTGGGTGGGATTCTGCAGCTTACCTTCCTAGGAATTGCCTGAGGGTTCTACTGATCCCCTCTGACTTCAAAAATCTTTTTGAGACTTTGGGACATCCCAGAGGAGCACAGTCATGTGGCTGACACTTGCCTTTCTGTCACCTTGCTGGCAGCCTTGCCTCCTCCTGTGTGTCCCCTGGTGTTTTCCTTTAGGCACCAGCCTGCATCCCACTCTGCTGTGACCTCCGTCGGTTCAAGTTTAATTCCTCATGTCCAGAGAGCCCTCACTGCTGGGATTATTCCACTTCTGTCTCTTTCCCTTCATCCTTCCATGGCTGGGGCTAATTCCTCGTGTCCAGAGAGCCCTCACTGCTGGGATTATTCCACTTCTGTCTCTGTCCCTTTGTCCTTCCATGGCTGGGCCTGAGTCCCACATAATTCCTCATGTCCAGAGAGCTCTCACTGCTGGGATTGTTCCACTTCTGTCTCTGTTCTTTCATCCTTCCATGGCTGGGGCTGAGTCCCACAGACCTCACGGAGCTAAAGGCAGATCATTGCCAATAATTCATTCCATTAAACCCATAGAAGTGCCTGATGCCTTCCTCCCCTATCAGAGCTGTGGTGATGAAGGAACATTTGGTGCAGCTCCTGTGCTGACCTGGAGCCCAGCACTGGTCCCCAGCCCTTCTTTCGTCAGCAGGACTCCAAGCTGTGTGTGCAGGAGGCCCCGAGCCAGTGCCAGGTGTGTGTGACTCATCCCCACTCAGCACTACAGAGCTCTGCAGATGAATTTAGATTTTTTTTCTATTCCCCAGCCCCTTGTGCTGCTGCGCTGAAGTCAGATTTTCCTGCCTGTGATGCAGAATCTGCGTGTTGGACGGGGTTTGTGTTTGTGCTGTGACATCTCCCGTCAGCTGAGCTGAAATAACCCAGCTCCATGGTGGGCATTTCCCCGGGGAGTCACCCTGTGTCACACCCCGAGGGACAGCAGGGAAGGGGGTACAGGAGCAGGAGCTGGACTTGTCCCCTAAAAATCTGCCTTTGCCTCAGGCTGCTGCTCTGGTTTTAGCAGCCTCGATCTGCTGGAGTGCAGAGTGTCCTGCAAAAGCCAAATTTCCTGCAGCTCCTTGTTTCACTGAGCTCAGTAATGTTCATATCTTGGTAATAAATGCACATGGAAAGGAGCTGTGGTTCTCACTGCTTCACCCTTAATGAGCAGTTTGTTCCATCCCCTCAGCGCTGCTGCTGCTCTCACGTTGGTTTTTGTCTTGACTCTGCCCATGGGGTGCTGTGTGGGAGCAGAGACGTGGCTGGGTGTACGTAGTGTGGCACCAGTTCCCTTCTGGGCCAGCTCTGCTGCACTTTTATAACATTTATATTACATTTATCATGGAATCATTTAGGTTGGAAAAGACTTCCAAGGCCATCGAGTCCCAGCTGTGCCCATCCCCACCTTGTCCCCAGCCCAGAGCCCTGAGTGCCACCTCCAGGGATGGGCCCTCCAAACCTCCCTGGGCAGTTCCCGTGCCTGAGCACCTTTCCATGGGGAAATTCCTGCTGTGCCCACCCTGAGCCTGCCCTGGCCCAGCCTGAGGCCGTTCCCTCTGCTCCTGTCCCTGTTCCCTGGAGCACAGCCTGACCCCCCGGCTGTCCCCTCCTGGCAGGAGCTGTGCAGAGCCACAAGGGCCCCCTGAGCCTCCTGTGCTCCAGGCTCAGCCCCTTCCCAGCTCCCTCAGGGATTCTCCAGCCCCTTTCCAGCTCCATTCCCTGCCCTGGGCACGCTGCAGCCCCTCAGGGTCTCTCACCACCAGAGGCCAGAGCTGGGCACAGCCCCCACGGTGTCACCTCAGCAGTGCCAGCACAGGGGACAATCACACCCTGCTCCTGCTGCCACGCTATTTTTGATGCAAAAACATCTGAGTTCTGCTCAAGACTGGCTTCATGCAAACCACCTGGTGGGGAGGCAGAAGTCAAACACCACAGGAGGGGAAGAAAGTCCCAGGGTGCCACCAGGCAGTGTGACACACCACAACCTAACCTAAAAATGTTACCAGCCATGTTCTAATTGCACACTTCTAACTCCCCAACTCCCACATTTTTTATTTCATAACTGTGGTGCTCTTTTAATTTGGTCTTTCATGTTGTGTAGGACGAGGTGGTTCTGAGAAGAACAACGGGGTTGTGAGAAGGGGAACAGGATGTGGAGCTTATCTCCTGACAAGGGCCTGCCTGGGAAAAAGGGGATTTGTTACGAGCTAGGAGCTGAAGGAGAGAGTAATCCCAAACCAGTGAGCCATTGTAGCAGGGAAATATTTTGTATTGTTGGTCTCCTCCAGCCTAAATGACTCTGTGACTCTGTTTCCACAAAGACTCTGGTTTGACAGAATACACAGAATATTTCTATGTTTTTGTAGCACTTGAGAAGTGAAGTAGGCTGTTAACGTTAATCAGGAGATTAATTTTTTCCCTAACTCTGTTCTTGGAAGTAATTACATGTTTTAATTTGACCCAGGATGCAGATCTTGTGTGGAAAACTCTGTCCCACAAGGAGTTAAGCTGGCTGCTGTGAGCAGCCCTTGTCATGGAAAGTGTTAGGCAGAGCTGTGGTGTCACTGGGAGCTGGGTTTCTCTGTTACTCACTGCCCTTCACGTGCTTTTTCAGAATCTTCTGCCTGTTTCTAAATTATCTTGTGAAAAGGGGGAAAGACTACAAGCCCGTGGTGTTTATAACAAAAAGCAGTATAGGAAGATGTGAGCAACACAGAGCTTCTAAAAGCTGAGTTAGGTGGAGTTCAGCCCTTAGAGGAGCAGTGTTTGTGCTGTGGGAGCTGGGATTTGTGGTGGGCTCAGGCTGTGAGGAGTTCAGCACTCATTTATTCCACTGCAGGGAATGGTTTTTGTGAGTTATCCTCGTGGAATTCCGTCCCAGTGCTGTTCTCACTGTGCTTCCAGAAAACACCCCAGCAGCAGGATCCCTCCTGCAGTTCAAGCTGTGTAAAAGTTCCCCTCTTTGCTGACAAAGGTGTTTCCTGTCTCTGTAATTGCAGATATGTGCCATCATTGGAGGAACGTTTACTGTAGCTGGGATCCTCGACTCCTGCATTTTCACAGCATCAGAGGCCTGGAAGAAGATCCAGCTGGGCAAAATGCAGTAACCATGAAACTCTACCCTCGACTCCAAGGACAGGAGCAAAGATTGAGAAATCTACCACTACCTGTTTTTGTCTTTATTTTCTATTTGATTGAATCAGTATGTTTTTCTCTAATCAGGCTGGTCAGTGAAGACGTCTTCAACAAATCAAAGAAATCTCCATGCATTTCAGAGCTCTGAGAGGGAAAAATCAGTGGAATCAGGGTGTGGATTTTGATTCCCTCCCCCCAGAGAGAGAGGTTGAAATGCCATATGAGATCTAAGTGAGGATGGCAGTCTGTCCTCTGGGAGGTTCCCATGGCAGTGTACAAACTAGGGAGTAGGTGGCAAAGAGCTGAACTGTCTTGTGGCACTTTTTGGAGTTCTGTTGGATTTGCATGATCAGACAATCGACTTTTGTATAGGGCAGAATTACACATGAGGAAGAAATTCCACCCATGGTGCCAAAAAGGTGATGTGTCTGTTGGTGAGGAGTGGAAAGTGTTAGTCCCCACAGCAAACCTAAGAGACAGAGGGCAGAAATAACACCAAGAAATGTTTTGTATTTCTGTTGAAAGCTCAGTTGTTCAGATACAACCTTTCTAACCAAGTGAGAAAAGACCAGGAAGCCTTCCTCAGCTACCTTTTCCTAGGTAATCTGTGATCCCAGCAGTGGAGGGCATTTCTTTTACTCTGGATGTAAAAGTGGTTTCGTTTCTTCCCACTAACTGAATATCCAGTCTTGTGTTTACAGGTGGCATGAAGTAAAAACCAAACTGAGCAACACAGTTTTATGTGGCCTTTGCTTTGAAAGGGAATAGTTGTCTTTACAGCATTAGCTTTTCTTTCTTCTGTTTCTAAACACAGACCACCCAAAAGTCTGGATTCTGAACTTCTGCTTTATTATTGTTGTTGTTGTTTTTGAAAAAAGATTTTGTATTCTCTGTGCTCAGAAAAATGGTGCAGCCCTCTGGGTGGATGAGCACAGCTTCCTCTCTTGCTTTGTGTGTGTGTGTATTCAATACACCTGTCAAACACAGGAATTCTGACTTTTCAGGATTTAAGGTGCCTCCCTTTTCCTTTAAAACTCAGCCAGGCTTCTTTTCTGAGCCCTGGACTGACACTGCTCTCCCACAGGTACACAGGGCAGCATTCCCACAGGCTGACCCTTGCTGGGAGTTTTGTTTGATCCCTTTAAAAAGATTCCTGAGCTTCCCTGTCCCTTCCTTCAAGCCTTGTCTTCTGGAGCCTCCAAAACACAGAGGTGTGAGGGGAAAACTCCTGCCAGGGGCGTCTTGCATGTCATTTGGTCCCAAAAATGAGACCAGATGCCCACCAGTGCATTTTCCAGAGCCTCAACAGTGTTCCTTGGGTAGTGACAGTCTCCGCATGCCTTGTGAATGTCTGAGCTGAGGATACACAAATTTTAAGTCTTTCAGGATGGATTAAACAAAAATAATAATAAAATAAAGATCTTGAACTCAGTGCTGTAAATTTTAAGATGGGTGCAGGGTTTCTCTTGGATGATATCCATTGCCTTTTCCTGGAGGCAGAATATCCAAACTTTATGCTGTGATGATATGAATTGTTGAATATTCAGTGTTATTGTTAGAGTCAGATGCATTTCAAAAGAATTCCTGATTGTCTGTTCAAATTGTCTCCTTGCTTTGGAAGCAGGGAAGGTGTAGCCAGTTTTACCCACCCACCAAAAAGAAGGAGCCAGCTCCTCTCCCCCTGCCATGCTCTGCCCTGTAGTGACTTTGGACAGCATTGGAATTTTTCCCTGTTCTTCTCTGGACTGATTGCTCTTCCTTTAGGTGCAAACTGGATTGTGCAACTTCCTGTACCCGTTCATGTATGGGTAGATTTTTTTTTTTTACTTTCTTTTTTTTTTTTTTTGTTTTTTTTTGTTTTTTGTTTTGTTTTGTTTTGTTTTTTGTTTTGTTTTTTTTCCCCTTTTACAAAAATGAACTTTTTCAATGAAATGCTTGGGTTCATCTGGGGTGTGTGTCCATGTGCCTGCAAGTGGAACCCTCTGGATGTGGGATTTTCCATGGCAATTGCTTCTTCCTGCTGGCTGAAGGATTTCCTCTAATCCACTGTGACCAGCTGAAACTCACAGCTAAAATGTCCTCATTTTTCCTTTTGGATTTGCTGAGTCTTTGCTGACAGCTTGGGAACAGTGGATTAAAATGATGAGATTTTTAATATTTTAGCATCTTCCTTACACTGAGATTTATTTGGTGCATCCTTCTCCTGAGCTGGGCAAGGGGAGATCTTTGCAGTACAGTTCATTTTCTGAAATTTCTCCTCTGGTGCAATTTCTTTGACACAAACAGAGGTGGTCGCAGATTCTTTGTGTCCCCTGGTGTGTTATTCCCATCCTTTTCCCCATTCCCTGTCTGTATTAAACTGCCTCCTGTGCAGTCCAGGCCAGTTCTCTAAACCAGACCAGTGAAATTGGTTTGTTTGGGGTTTGTTTTTTTTTTTTGGAAGTAACACACTTCAGCGTGCCTGCTCTCTCTGCCAAAACATCCCCTGCAATAAGGTAATAAATCACTTTTTTGGGGGGGTATTTTTTTTTTTTTGTTTTGGTTTCTTTTTTTTTGTTTTGTTTTGGGTTTTTTTGGGGTTTTTTGTTTTGTTGTTTTTTGGGTTTTTTTGGGGTTTTTTTTGCAAGATATGGAAATCAAATTGTACTCAAGTTCTGGCAGGAGGAACAGTCTGTCCTTGGTTCTGTAAACCAGGTCTGAGCCTTTGAGAGCTGCCAAGCCAAGGCCACCTTCTGGGGCTGCTGGGCTTTGTGGTGAGCTCGTCCTGCAGGCTCACACCGCGGTGCTGCATCGTGTGTTTGCAGCAGAATCTGCTCTTCACCTCCCCAGCTGTGAAGGAAGGCACTTACTGCCTCTGCACCCATGAGATCTCACTTTTATTCTGAATTTTCTGAAGAGAAAATGAGCTTAGTCGTGCTTTTAAACGTCCTTGCAAACAAAAGAATTTCGAGTCAGAGCAGAAGGGAACCCTGAGTTGTGGAGTTCTGATTTTGCCCTTTCATGTCAGTGTTTTTATAGAAGAATTTGGGTATCCAAAAAAGACATCCCTTTAGGAAATATTTGAAACTCCCACTTCAAATCATTCCCTGTAACTGCAGACTCCACCCTACGGTGAGAACTTGAGGCATAGGATGCTTTGCAGTGGTGGAGTTAAAAACTTCTAGCTCTAGGGAAAGTTATTAGATGTATTCTAGGCAGTATCTGGACTGCTGAAGAAGATTTTAAAAAGAAAATAAAATGGAAATGGGGTACAAAAATCCAGGAGAGATGAGTCTGTGAACGTTTGATCTGATCTCTCAAATCCTTGCATTTATTTGCGCTGTGAAAAATGAGATTTGCAATGTAGGTGGCCCTGTCTGCCACCAGCTCCTGAGTATTTCTCATTTATTGTTCTTTCTCTGTGTGACACGGGGCTGTTGGGGCTGGGATGAGTCTCTGCTTTACAAGAGTTTTTAATTTGCAGATTGGGGGTGTCAGTTTGTCCCTGGGGTGTGGGAGAGGGGCAGGGAGGAGGAGCAGCCCTGCCGTGTCTGGTACTGCAATGTTTAAAGCACAAGTCTTTTACATTTCTTCCGTGGAGACTGTTAAGGAGTTCTGGCATTTGTCTTTTTAATTTGCAACCTTATGTTAATAAACTATTAGCCTTTCTAGTTCCATAATTAAAAATAAAACTCTTACGTGTTTTGATTGGCTTCTTGTCGCGCTCCTGTTGCAAAATCAATCCAAAGGGGCTTTTTTCTTTTGTTTTTAATGATGATTTCAGTGAACTGAGCGTTATCACACAATGAAATCACTGGGAGCCAGGTCACTGTGGTGAAAGTTAGCACGAGGCTCTTTTGTAATCAGCCCTGAGTCATGTCTGGACATTCAGTGCTGGGTTTTGTACAGTACCAAGTGTCCCAACCTCCTTTTTTTAAGGAAAGGTGAATGGACTGTGCTTGGCACTTGCTGGGTTTGGCTTTAGTCACTGTGCTCCTTGGTATGTGAAATAACCCCATTTTTGTCCCCCCCCTCCTTTAATGTCCACTTAGCCTTGCTTCATAACTGTTTGGAAATAAAAGTCTGAGGCAATTTTTAAAGATGGAACAGTAAAGGGTTACAGCACAGTGAGTTTGGGCTCAGGATATCTGCACCATCTTAAGAAACAAATTCCCTTTATGTTGAGAAGGTCTTTGTGGAGGAGGAGACTCTGCCTGTTCCAGTGACTGAACTCACATTTCCACACGTGATGGGGTGCTGCTGGAAGTTTCTCACTCTGTAAATGACAAATAAAGGCTCTGGGGAAGGTGTTTGTCCAAATCCCAGCCTGCTGCAACTCAGTCCCAAACTTTTCCAGCTTATCTTTATAAAAAAACCCAGCCCAAACCCAGCCAAGCCAATTAATTGGTTAATTTCTACCAATTTTCATTGAGAATAAATTAATCAATGTCCTGAAAAGATGTACTGGGGCCACATGCACCTGAAAGGGGAATGGTTTGTGCAGGTGAGCTGGGTTATGGGGACAGGGACGGAGGTGACAGTGGCACAGGGGCAGGGGCTGGGCAGGGGAACTGGTGTCCCCTGGGGCTGAGGGACATGGGACTAGTGTCACTGGTGTCCCTTGGGGCAGAGGGACACGGGACTGGTGTCACTGGTGTCCCCTGGGGCTGAGGGACATGGGACTGGTGTCACTGGTGTCCCTTGGAGCACAGGGACGTGGGCAGGGCAGGGCAGGAGGAACCAGTTTCAGCCTCATTCATGGAGAGAAGGAGCTGCTGGTGAAGAGCAGGGCAGGACTGACGGACAGGGGGTGCCCAGGTGGCACTGGGGACATGCCCAGGTGGCACTGGGGACAGTGCCAGCAGGTCTGTACCGGGGATGGTGCCAGGTCGGTACCGGGACAGTGCCCAGGGTGTGATGCTCAGGTGGGCACCAGGGAAGGTGCCCAGATGTGCTCCAGCTGTGTCCCGGGTCTGTCCCAGCTGTGTCCTGGGTCTCACCCAGATGCACTCCGGGTCTGTCCTGGGTCTGTCCCCGCTGTGTCCCGGCTCTATCCTCGCTCTATGCCGGGTTTATCCCGGCTCTATCCCGGGTTTGTCCCCGCTATATCCCGGCTCTATCCCCGCTCTATACCGGGTTTATCCCGGCTCTATCCCCGCTCTATCCCGGGTTTATCCCGGCTCTATCCCCGCTCTATCCCGGGTTTATCCCGGCTCCATCCCCGCTCTATCCCGGGTTTATCCCGGCTCCATCCCCGCTCTATCCCGGGTTTATCCCGGCTCCATCCCCGCTCTATCCCGGGTTTATCCCGGCTCCATCCCCGCTCTATCCCGGGTTTATCCCGGCTCCATCCCCGCTCTATCCCGGGTTTATCCCGGCTCCATCCCCGCTCTATCCCGGGTTTATCCCGGCTCCATCCCCGCTCTATCCCGGGTTTATCCCGGCTCCATCCCCGCTCTATCCCGGGTTTATCCCGGCTCCATCCCCGCTCTATCCCGGGTTTATCCCGGCTCCATCCCCGCTCTATCCCGGGTTTATCCCGGCTCCATCCCCGCTCTATCCCGGGTTTATCCCGGCTCCATCCCCGCTCTATCCCGGGTTTATCCCGGCTCCATCCCCGCTCTATCCCGGGTTTATCCCGGCTCCATCCCCGCTCTATCCCGGGTTTATCCCGGCTCCATCCCCGCTCTATCCCGGGTTTATCCCGGCTCCATCCCCGCTCTATCCCGGCTCTATCCCCGCTCCATCCCCGCTCTATCCCGGGTTTGTCCCCGCTCTGTCCCCGCCGCAGCGCTGCCCTCCGGCCGCCAGGGGTCGCGGCTCGGGGCCGGGCCGGAAGCGGAGGCGGAAGCGCCTCTGGCTCCTCTTCCGGGCGGGCGGCGCGGCGGCGGCAGCGGGTGAGGCACCGGGAGCCGCCATCCGCGGCCATCGGGGCCATCCGCGGCCATCTCCGGCCGGCGGGGCCTCCGCGGGACAGCAGCGGGGTGCGGGAAGGGGCTCGGGTGGCCGAGAGCCCGCCCGGGGCTGCGGGACGGGGAGAGCTGGGGCTCGGGGGGAGCTCGGCCTCCTTGAGGCTGCGCTGCCCTGGTGCGTTACTGAGTTAGCGCAGCCCAGCCCCGGGACGTGCTGGCTGTGCGCTCAGAAGCTGGGGAGTTGAGCAAAACCGGCCTTTAATTTAATTTAATTTATCGTTCATTTAATTTACCCTTTGCTGTCAGGATCAGTGGTGTCCTGACTGGCAGTTCTCTAGCGCAGCTGTTAAAGTTTAGGAAAGGCCAGAATTATCTTGGATTTGCAGATGTGTCACCTGTACGCTGTGGCGAGGAGCGTTCCTGGCGGTGCTGGAGCAGTGCGAGTGCCCTCTGCAAGCCCAAAATACACATTTTTATAGACGGATATAAATGAGAGCAGGGCAGCATGCAGGTGTCCTGGGCACTGGGAGCCTCGGGCTGGAAGAATAGTGTGATGTGCGCCTGTGTCAGTCACAGGGTCACTGCCAGCAGGGCAGAGGCTTCAGCTTATTTGGAGTCAGGGATACCAGGGTTTGTTGACCAGTGCTGGGATTTAAAACAGTTAAAATTATTTTTTATGCCGCAGCACACTGGGCGTGGGTGATGGAGTGTGTGTGTGCTGTAGCACCTCTCCAACTGCTGTGTTTTTTTGGGGGTTTTTTTGCAGCCAAAATGAAGTTCAACCCCTTTGTGACCTCGGACCGCAGCAAGAACCGCAAGAGGCACTTCAATGCCCCCTCCCACATCCGCAGGAAAATCATGTCCTCGCCCCTGTCCAAGGAGCTGCGGCAGAAGTACAACGTGCGCTCCATGCCCATCCGCAAGGACGACGAGGTCCAGGTACTGCCCTGCCACACCCGCGCCTCCTCCCGGGACTTTCCAGCAGGAATTTCCCCATGGAAAGGGTGCTCAGGCACTGGAACTGCCCAGGGAGCTTTGGAGAGCCCATCCCTGGAGTGTCCCAGGAAGGGCTGGAGGTGGCACTGGGTGCTCTGGGCTGGGGACAAGGTGGGGATGTGGCATAATTTGGATTTGATGATCTTGGAAGTCTTTTTCAAGCCAGCTGAGTCTGGGATTCTGTTTTCATGTGCAGCTTGTGCAAATGGCAAGGACGAGACAAACTGATATTAATGCTGGAGCTGTGTCTTAAGCATGGCAGAAATAATCTAAGTTAATCACGTCATGAGTTGGGCTGTCAAGTGTTTCTTAAATTCACTTCATTTAAATTCACTTCAGTGATAAGGATGGCACAGGTGTGCTGCACTTCAGCTGCATGCACTGATCACTGTGCTGAACTGAAAACTTTCAACAATAAAGCACAAAGCAAAGAATTGGGTTTTCTTATAGACTGTTTGCTGCCTGTGATATTTGAAAGATTGGATTAGAAATGAGTCCAAGCTAAGTGGCTTTTTTTGTATAAAACAATGATAGGTGAAAAATGAGGGCAAAAACTGTTAAAAATTGATACCTGGCTGTCGCTATAGGACACGAAATAAAACAACAGGCATGCTGGAACCTCCAGGGTAAAAGGAAGGGAAGTTTATTTTCTGACTCCAACATTTAAAGATTTTCAAAAGTGACAGTGGATTGGAGGATGAAAGTGCCACCTCTCCAATGACACTGGACAAGACAACAGCCCATCAGATTTCTCTTCCTCCACAGAAGAATGTAAAATAATTATTTACATAAAAATGCGTGAGAAAGTTCATTACAAGAACGTAAACATCAGAAGGCTTAGAAGAACAGGGCAACACCTGGCTGCAGAGCTACAGAGCTCCCTCATTAGGGTTTGCTGCAGAGAAAATGGGGGGAAGCACAATCCTGATCTGTTTTATGTTCTGTGTTAGTAATGCTGACATTGTCGGGTCACTCATGTGTTTGTTTGGATCCTGTGCAGCTCAGCTGTGCTGGGTTGTGAGCTGGGCTGGCTGCCCCAGGGCTGGTTCTGGAGCTCAGTGTGTGTGTGTGTGTGCTGTGTGCAGGTGGTGAGGGGACACTACAAGGGCCAGCAGATCGGCAAGGTGGTGCAGGTGTACAGGAAGAAATACGTGATCTACATCGAGCGCGTGCAGCGGGAGAAGGCCAACGGCACCACCGTGCACGTGGGCATCCACCCCAGCAAGGTACGGGGGCACCGGGGCTGCCTGGCACCTGCCAGCACAGCTGGGGCCACATGGCTGCTCTGGGTTGGGTGGGACCTGTTGCCAAGTGCTGGGAATGCCCCTGAGTCAGCAGATGGAGCAGCCCTGGGAGAAGGGTCTGGGGGTGCTGCTGGCCAAGAGCTGGACCTGCCTTGGCCCCGGGAGCCCCCCGTGCCCTGGGCTGGTCCCCAGTGGGCAGCAGGAAGGGGCTGGCGTTGTGCCCTGTGCCCCCTCAGGTGAGACCCCACCTGCAGAGCTGCCCCAGCCCTGCAAGGAGCTGGAGCTGCTGGAGAGAGCCCAGAGGAGGCACCAGGGAGCAGAGGGATGGAGCAGCTCTGCTGGGAGAGCTGGGGTTGTTCACCTGGGCAGGAGGAGCTTTGGGGTGACACAGCTGTGGCCTCACAGTGCCTGAAGAAGCCAACAAGATGGAGAGAGAATTTTAGAAGGACCTGGAGGGACAGAATAAAGGGAATGGTTTCACACAGCCAGAGGGCAGGGTCAGATGGGATATTGGGAATTAGGAATTGTTCCCTGG